AAATTAAAGATTATTAAAAATCCGGGCTTAGCATCTGTCATCTGCATGGGGGGCTCTTGGCAGATCCCACTCGGCAGATCGCCATGATTGGCGCAGTCAATTTATAGACGCTATCACCTTTGCAGCAGGTATCTAGGCACTGTAGTTACTGTGACTAGATATTCTATGGGTAGCATTCCAAGGCATAGCTAGTTGGCTAATCACACTTGTCAGGTGCGTGCCTTGGTCAGGAGGTGCAGGAAGACAATGAACAACCTGAACTATGCACCAGATAGGCAGGTCGACAAGGGAACCAACCCGGGGAATCGATGGATAAGGTCCCCGAACGGAAGTTGGGCGATGCCAAGTGAATAGAACATAGTGAAGTTTCCATTGCAATGTTCTTTTACGATTTCGGGTGTAGCGCGGGCGGACGGACCCAACCAGGGAAATTAGATGTTTGGGTCGAGTCCACCCCCGATTCTTCCTGTTTGTTGACATGTCCTGAGAGGGCAAAAAAGGAGACGGCGGTGGGACGGGAATGCAGCGCGGTGTGGAAGTGGGAAAGGGACCGAAATTGGGAAGATGGATTTAGACTCGAGGGAGGCGGCCAATCCACGTTGATGTAGAGCCCGAAAATCCAAATCCCAGGGCGTGTGTGCAGCCTTCCGCCGCTAGTGGAGGTTGGGCCAAGGGCATTGGCTTGGATTCCCGAACGCTAACTCCTGAGCAAATCCACCGATGGCTGAAAATGGGCCTATCAGAGCATGTCCAAGTGTGGGGGCGGAGAACCTGGTTAGCGGGAACAGGGGGGAACCAGAGGATTAACCAGACTCAGATAAGCCTCTGATAGTGAGCACGCCATTGGGAGACCAAACAATGGGTGAATTCTGAGCAAAGCAGGGGGGGCCGTGTTGCAGCCACATGCCCCAGAGACGGCAGATAGTCGATAGCCGAGCTTGGCTTGAATCGATCACCCAATCAGCATTTATCGACCCCACAGGAGCTGACGCGTGCACATCTCACGAAGCTTTCCTCCTTTGGGATGCACTTCCTATTTGGGCACTGACCTTGATTGTACTCGGTATACGGAGTATATTGGGCTACGGAGGAAAAGCATCATAGGCTGAATACTTGGCAGAATAGCACGATACAGGCTCTTCTCATCTCTCCTATCCCAGCTCGTAAATACCTCAAGAAATCCCTCTATTCTATGAATCCTCTGCTGACGTGGTGACCCCGCAGCCCGTTACCCTGATCCCTGCGTGCGATCCTGGCTGGCTCCACCAGACACTGCCACTCCCAGGGTTGCAGCTAGCGGCCACTTGAAACACGCCGTCCAGCACAGCTCCTAACCCTAAAGTAGACTAGTCGAGCACTTTGGCTTCTCCAGTCAGTCGACAGAAGTGCATGAATCTCATGGGCAGCATTGCTGAACACCAGCGATGGAGATTGTCCGAGGGGAGTACAGGTACGGGTAGTATTGCTCTGGTAATAGAAAGTCGACTCCGGACGGAGTCCCTCATGGACATGAGTCTAGCGCTTGGAGTATCCCTGTTGGGGTTCTTCACCATCGCCCCCCCTCCGGGGGTTCAGTCTCCAGCAGAAAGCGCAGTGACGTCACGCTATCCGGGGGGTGGTTGGTTGTTGGTTGCAGTGCATTACTCCGGAGGACTAGCAGCAACCGCCATGAATCAGGGTAACCCTCGACTCGGACAATCAACGGTGGATGATCCGCCAACCGGCCCTGGACACCACCAGCACAGCGATAGGGGCGATTGGACCCTGAACAAGCTTCTCGCGGCCAGCAGCCTTGGGCGTCACTCCCCGGCGGGAAAATGATCTAGTGTGCAAGAATGTGGACCTCCGGCTCTTGGCGTGTGTCAATGGCGCTGCTCCTCCATCCAGCATGTGCAACAACGCAGGTGTCGGAGGAGAAAAAATGCATCCTGCACAGCATGCAGCCCACCACTCAGAGCAATGAAGGGGCTTTGCTTGCGTAGCCTCTCCATCTCGGTACAGGGCTCATCTGCACGTATGCACGGTCTTGAAGGGGGAGGGGTTACGAAAAGATTGGACTGGATGGGAGACTTGGATGTGACTAGTACAAGGCTCGAGGATGTACTCCGAGTCCTGACGCGTGTGCGTGAATTGCGCCAAACCTCGGAGGTTGGGAACACAAAGGGCCAAACACTACGCAGGACGTCCAGCAAGGACCCTGCATTGCGACTAACGCCATTCGGAAGCCAGGCGGCGAAAAGCGGACCAGCACGACTCGTTCCTGAGCTGAGGATGCGATTGTATAGAGCTGATCTCTTACTCATCCGTCTATCATGGCGCCTACGGAGCAGATCGGGTGGCCAGTGGGAACGCACTATCATTGAGAGCCTCAATGGTATCTACGGAATACTAGGTTGAAGGCGCTGACGATGTGCACCAGTTCATGGTGGCTGCTATAGATCGTAAACTATAACACGGGAGGAGGAGAACATGGTGATCGGATTGATTAAATTAATTAATTAATTAATCTATCGTGATCTTGAATAGCTAGCCATTCTTCCAGATAGGCCGGGCCAACCTTCCCAACCAGGGTGTTTCTCACATGAACCGAGGGTTTCCTCCGTTGTTGATATCAGGGTCCGATGTAGTCTGCCCTCTGTACCGTTTTAATTATCTACGGAGTACGGTCTCCAGCAAGGATTCGTAATGCTACGGAATAGACTAGGAGACGGGACAGAGGGACCCAGCAAAAAGGAAAAAAAGAAAGAAAAAAATACAAGGAGAAAATAGTTTCGCGTCCCCATCCGCTGCCTTCTTCCAAGGAGAGGGCCAGGAAATAGTTTCCATGCGGCCTCAACCTCTAAGGGTGCGGCCCATGTGGATGCAGCCGAGCAACACGCTCCAAAACAACCCGGTCGGATTGTGAGTCAACCCAGCTATAGACGCAGTGGATGCATCATCCGTCACTTTTATTTAATATTTTCTTTTCCTAGTTGTTTGTCGCTGCGAGAAGCTCCGGCCTAGTTGGTGCAGTTAAACTCAAGCGGTTTAGTCCTTGCGCCCAAACTCTCCAAGTTCCTTGATGGTGGTGACAATGGCTTCTTCCGAGCCCTGCACTTCAGCCAGCCAAGGGGGTAAACATGGTGAATATAACCAACCAGGAAGATATGGGATGGAGGAGGGGAAGGAGTGGACGCTCGAGCCTCAGACCCTGACTTGTCACGGCCTTACTTCTACTACTCTGGACAATAGGTACCTCTGTATTTTCTGAAATATTATCCCAGCAAAAAGGTTGATTTAGCGCAGGCCGAACCTCAAAGCATGCCTGCGCAACGGCCAATGAGGCGCAGGGTCCTCCCCACAGAGGCGCACGCCAAGCCCGCACATGACAAGGGCGATGGAGAAGGCTTACGCGGCAACATGCCCTAACATGCAGGGTGAATGCTTGGCGTCGGGGACATGTGGCAAATGGCTGCTGGCAAGATACGAGCACTACCTCATTGTCCGGAGTAGTTAGTCTAGTAAGGTCACTAGTGAGGTGGGAATGATGGTCAGGGACAGGGACACACGCCAGAGGCGCTTCCCCTCTCCTTTTTCTCACGGGTTTCAGTTTCAAGGGACCAATGTCTCGCTTATGTAATCGTCTCGCGATGGCACCAACACTCCTTCACATCACCACCAGGCCAGGAGAAGGACATCAAGATCAACATTATCCGTAACTGTAGACTCTGTAGACCCCTCGTACCACTCGGACTCAACGGTCGGGACGTACCTCTACCTTTTGACGCTGATCGACCCTCTTTCCTGTCGATCCGAGCTAAGTATACCGTGTGTTGGAAGTATATCCAGTCCATGTCCCAACGCTGGGACACAGATCGGCCTCAGAGACGCAACCGCATCCGTCCTGCCAGCCATATAAGGCTGAGAGCCTCTTCTGGGCCGCTGTCGACCCGTCAGTCTGGTTCAGAGATAAACGGCCCTCGCATCGGAGTGTATATCACCACCGCATCCGTCACGTCGTCCCTGGGGCTTGGGGGTGCGCTGAAAATCAGCCTTCATGATGTCAGTCGAGCATCAGCGTCCTGGGCCAGACAGGCTTGCTCAGTTCCTAGACGCACCTTGGTCCATCGTCCTACTTGACAGGACGAAGGATGGCTCATTCTCCCTTCTCTCAACAGGACTGATCCATCCCAGCACATTCGTTGAATATCCCTTGGACAGAAAGGGACTTGTCCGATCTGCCAATGGCGATGAATACCCAAGACTCACAGTAACACAAACAGGCAGCCAGGATCGACCGCGTCGTGCCCGGTTGCACAACCGTCAGCAGTACGACCCCGTCCCTATCCGTCGAAGCAAGCCCTCCGTCCCCTTGTCCTCCCTCACCAGACTCGACCCTCGTTCGCACCGTTATACCGTCGATTCGTTTCCGTTCGTGTGCCTGACACTCTGAATGGTTTGAACGGTGTCTAGATACTACTACATCCAGGGGTGAGGTCCCTGGGAGACTGTTTCGCTAGGACGTCGGAAAGAGGATTGCTTGGATAGAACTCTACGTGCTAGTTATACGCTGTGCAAGTGCAGAATCGATTAACGGGGGTCAATCCGTTCCGAGTCGCTGATAGCTCTGGTGAAACCATCGTCTTGCTTGACGATGCGTAGAGTACTCTGGCATCACAACAGGCACATTCGGGAAGCTTGGGTGAGACACAACAGAATCTAGCTGGAAAGCAGGTGGTCTGGAGAACCGAGTCGAGTCTCGGGGTGCATTTACTATACGACCGCACGATGTGCGCATCCTCCAAGAAACGAACACTACGATCACAATGTCAGAATACAAGGTCATTCCTATATCTAAAGCACAAGCGTCATGCGAATAAATACACGCCAATCCCACCATGGACAACACCGTTGGTAATTAAAAATACCCAGCATATGCTCGAAAAAAGTCAGCAGTCCCAGTCCGGTTCAGAATACAAAGAGGGAATATAGAAAGTAAACTGGCTTTTATCCACAACCGTTCAAACAATGATGGAGAGTTCGGTCCTGTCCAAGCCATCCGCTTCCAGGCCTGGGTAGTACGGAATCATCGAATCGGCGCTCTGCACATACGCGTCGTTATAGAGTCGCCAGTATGGCGTGCGCACCTTGCGAGCAGGGTGGAACAGTCCAGCCCAGACGTAGTTCATAACAACACCAGTTCCAACAGCCATACGAATCGCGTCGATGGCTTCGATAACACGATCGATGACGTGAGGGCTAGTCTCAAAGATGTTAGGGAACACCAAGTTCAAAAGATGGACCATAGCATCTTCACAACCCAGACCGACGACTCCAAGAGCAATGTGCTTGACAACGCTGGCAGCGGTTTGCCGGTGAACTTGATCTCTGTCAATGAGGGCATCCTCGAGCAGAGGAGTCACGGCGTATACGTAGTCCTTGGCCATTTCGCCAATATATTCGAAAAGGAACGACATGGCCTTGAGGACACCATTCTGGACATTGAGCTCCGGTACCCGGTATTCGTTCATCAAGGCAGGAAGAACCGTAAATGGAGCGCAAGTCTCGGCCACAATACCGATGGCGACAGCAGTGCAGACACGAGATTGACGTTCCTGCACTCGGAGATTGTTGAGTAGCGTCGCCAAAACATCCTGAGGACCAATGGCCTTAGCAATGAAGCCAAAGGTGTTGTTCGCCGCACGACGAATGCCCTTCTTGTGCGCTTTCAGCATGTCAAGCAGCTCGAAGCAAATACGCATCCACTCGCGAGCGTTGACAGACTCGGGACCGCGATCAGCAATACGACCCACAAGGTCGATGGTGTTCTCCTGGACCTTCTCGTGTCGGTTACGCAGAATAGGCGTGAGGCGGGGAAGGAGGTCACGAATAGGCGGCTGCATCTGGTTGATACCGACGACCGTGACGATAGAACGAAGCGCACCAAGGATAGATCCAAGCACTTCGGGGTACTCCTCACCCAGATATTCGTAGAGAACAATACCGAGCTTACCCATGAGAGCATCTTCTCCACACTGCTTCATGACCATTGCAATGCGCGAAATGAGATCCGCCGCCTGTTGACGCACGGTGGCGGACTTGTTGTTCAATCTCCAAAGAATGGTACTGACAATCTGCGGGAGGTACGGCTTGCAACGAGTACCAAGAGCATTGACCACCGTGCCAAAGCCGTTCAAGATCACGATGTCCTCGATGCTTTGTTCTTGGAAGGCATAGAGGACACCGTCAATAAGCCGTTCCTCCAGGCGCTCGGAGATATCGGCGGCTCCAAGAGCCGCAATCAATTTTTCCACGGTCTCGACTGTCATCTTTCTGTATGGTTCACTCTCATCCTTGAGGTTATTCACTACACGCTCGAGAATCTCCCCCACGCCGACCTTCTGGCCGAGATCGACCGTAGTATCAACGACTTGACGGTAGTTCCTCCGGTCCAGGGCCATGCGCCGCACCCAGAAGCTTTTGAAGAAGTCGGTGAGGACGTGTTCTTTGAGGTAGCTAGCCGTGACTCCGTCGGTGCTGGCACACTGCGAGACCACCTTCAAAACGACCTTCTTCATCTCCTCATCTGGTGATGAGAACTCACGAAGCAGGATCTCCATAATCTGACTGGTGTAATAGTTGGCATATTCCTCATCCATGAGAGGGATAATGTAGCCGACAGCCTTCAGGAATGCCGCAAGACCCTTACCACGCTGCTTCCGAGCACCCGTCCACAAGGGGTTAAGGATTTCATCAAAACTCTCAATACCATAGGGATTGGCAGCTTCAGCCAAGGCGGCCACAGCCAGTGCAGTAACCGTGCGCACTTTGGCTTGCTCGTCGCTGAGATTGTCTGCAATGCAGTCAACCAGACCCTTCAAGTGAGGGAGAATGGCACAACCCATGAGAATAGGGATCTGCTGGACGATCTTGACACCAGTGTGCCGAGCCTGCCACGACTTCTTACTGCGGCAGACGGCACGAAGGAAAGGAAGGAGAGCGGGAATACCAAGAGCAGACGCAACCACAGCAAATGCTCTGGCAGTTGTGTTCCGGACGTATTCGTCAACATGGTCGATATCAGGCCGCATCGTACTGATCATAGTAGCCAGGCCTGCCGCCTTGGCGAGGTTCGAGATGATTTCTCGACCCTCGACACGTGCATAGTAGTCTTGATCGATAAGGAGGGGCTCAATGACGACGAGGATCTTATGAACGTAAGGACGAACGAGATCATCCAGCTTATACAGCACACGATCGATGACCTTGACCAACAAGTGGCGCTCCTGGTCTTCGAGGGATCTCTCCATAAGCAATGGAAGGATCTGGTTGAATAAAGGTCCGGCGCCGAATTGCCGAGCATTGTCTGTGAGTTGACGGAGAGCTGTCTTGCGCATGGGTGGCGTGCCGTTCTTCACCTTCAGCAAGAGCCTCATGATCTTCCGCTCTTTCAATTCCTCTACCGACATAGCACTCTCGTCACCTCCTTCCATGAGCTTTCCGAAGTATGCCATATCCTCGGGCTTGAAGAATTGCAAATCACCTACGCCCGGGATCTCGGTCGGAAGCTGCTTGCCCAAGGCGCGTGCACTCTCGGGCTCTTGCATCATGAATCCGCCCACACCAGTCGAGCTAGCCATAGGTGCCGGGGTAGCCATAAGTTTCCGGGCAGGAGTGCGGATCGGAGCATAACCCGGTGGAGGATCGAGAATCTTGTAACCATCCGCCTCGCCGGGGAGCATCATATCAAGCTCTTCGTCCGACAAGGGCGCGTTGCGTCCGGAGATATCAGTTCCAAAGCTAGTTGGAATCATAGGCGCACCTGCTTGCGAGGGATGCATGGGAGTCGCCAGTCCTTGGTTGCCCACCGGAGTGGCTGCAGTAAGAGATGGCGCCTGATCCCATCGTGATCGTCGTTTTGGTGCCTCTTCCGTGGCTCCCGGGACTGGAACCGCAGGTGTCTGGTCCCATCGAGACCGTTTCGCTTTTGTTTCCTCCGGCTTGGGGGCCTCGGCTGTTTCATCGGTAGACTCAGAGGCAACGTCCCACCGCTGCTTACGCTTGCGTCCTGCGGCGACGGAGACGGTCGAGCCCGCGTCGGCATTTTCCTTGTCCTCCAACTTCAACGTGGCCTCGTGTTCGACGACACCATTTTCGCCACGGGCCCTGTTTTTCAGCGATCAGCTTCTGCACACGCTCCTCTTCTTTCTCAATCTCACGCAGAGCCATGACTTCACGATAGGTCTGGCCCTCTCCATTTTCAACGTTCGCATGGGTGTTCGCAGCAAAAGGATCGGCCCGAGTAGGAGTCAGCGGTCCGCGGTTGAATCTGCGCTTTTGATAATCGGTCTCCCGATCTGCGATTCTCGCCGCCTTCTCGCGTCCGAGAAGGATATCTTCCTCCTCGACCCCATTACCGTGGGCAAACTCCTCCATCTGACTCTTGGTCGCAGTATACTGGCCGACCAGGCGGTGGCCGCCATCGGCATCCTCCATCTCCTCATCATCTCCATTGACAGCGATCGAAGTATCGTAGCCGGCATATTTATCGGGGCCATCGCGATCATACAGCGTGGTATCGAAAGATTCAGTCATGGAGGCCTTGGTCGAGTTGTCAGTGCGCTGGCTAGACGGATCAAAGGTCCTAGAACCTTTCTTCCCGGCGGCAGCGGCGTTCCGCTCAGCCTGGAGCCGCCGAACGGCGTCGAAATCGGCTAGAAAAGGGGGTTAGCCACGTCTCGATGAGGACTTCCGAAGGGTGACGTACCGTCAGACATGGTGTCAATAGCTGGGACAAAGCCAGAGACCAGGGGAAGAGCACGGATTTCGAAAAAGCAGTAGCAGCAGCTACATTCGGGATAACACCGCGATTACGGCGAAGAGGGGTGATGCGTTGTGGCGCGAGTCGATAGTATCCGATGAAAAACCCGCAAAACGTGAGGTTGAGGTTGAGGTCACACTAATTCGCTGACTAAGAGAGATATGATCACATGACAACAGAGGCTAGTTAAGTATGTTCAATTAGTCATCAATCAGACAAACCGAGATCATGCCACTCGTTGCACTGGTTGTCATGAATGCGTTTAATGAAGATTCTAGAGTGGTTTGGGGTTCATCATGGTCATATCAGGTATACTGATGCTTCAGGAACGAACGATATTGATTACGTATACAATGGACACCTGATACTTATTATCTGGTTTGGATTGTGCACTATATATATTCACAATCCGAAGCAACTATACACACCAAACACAGAAATAAATACCGAGGACAAGGCGAGAGAAGAATCAACGCACGGATATGACCTCAATCTTTCAAACACCAAAACTTCATTCCTATCTCTGCTCTGGACGCTGAGCTACCACCACCACTCGCGGCATCGACAGGGCCGCACCGTTCAGACATTCTTGATACGACTGCGCAATGATCCGACGAAAATCAGCAGCACCCTCATGTTGACCCGTCTGCGTCAGGCGTGCAGCGAATTCCTCCATCGTCATGAGATGCTGATCATTGAACGCGCGCACCAGTTCCGGAGTCTCATCATACCAGTGCAGCTTCGGCGTCTGAAATCCCGACTGCGCCAGCAAGTGGGGTAGGTCCCTGGTCCAGTTATGTCTTCCGTTGGAGTAGCACGCAGTGCGGAGCTCCTCCAATGCCGGAGCATCAGTCATGTTATTGGGCTTCTTAACATGGATGTTCACGGCGTCAATCTCGTCCCATTGGATATATCCGCCTGGCTTCAAAAGCTTGAGGAAGTTGGCTAGAGGCTTGCTGAGATCCACACCCGACAAAACCAGGATGAGGAGCCGGATGTGCACAAGGTCGTACTTGCCTACAAGCTCCGGCGGCACTTCTCCGAACATGTCCCAGTGTCCGAGGTTGATGTTTGGAGGCAGCCATGTCCTGTGCGGAGCACGTGTGAGATCCAGATCCAGTCCGTCAAGCTGGGCCCCAGGAAGTTCTCTGGAGACGTCTATCAGCCACAGGCCACTTCCGCATGCCACATCCAATATCTTCGGATTCTTCGGAAGCTCAATGGATGGATGGATACTGTATCCGAAGACTTCCCTCCATAGATAATGTTGGAGGTTCAGCCGGCCAGCGGCTTGGTAGCTCGTGGTGTCCAGCATATAGCCATGTCCGTCAGCAAGCTCAAACGAGGCGGTTGTTTGAGCAGGATTCTGTTCTTTGACGGGTTGCTTCTGCGTAACTCCAACCATGATGAAGAGTGGTAGACTCGGAGAAGGGTTCTTGAAGGCTAGGACTCGTCGATTCGTAGGGTTGCGAAATGGAGTCCATGTACTGAGGAACGTAGAGGTAGCAAAGGGCCGCATCCACGCAGTCACGCTCCATACTTGGGGCTATTTATCGCAGTGTGTCATGCGAGTATCCGTTTTCTCGGGATTTGCCCGGGTATGAAGTACCGTGATGTACTCGGATGGCGAAGGTGACGACCACGTAGCAATCAACCCACTGGTATCCATATCGATAGCGAAGAGAGCTTAACCCCACATCAACTATCGAAGGCATCCAATTCATGCTTGGGTCAGTGGCTGAGGGGGCCCATAGTCGTCCGGACCTTCCCTTCCGAGGGCTTCCTATCCTATGGACCAGGTCGAAACTACGTTGATGACCGCATTCCGTTCTGGAACGATCTGCAATAACATGTGGTGTGAGGCTAAGGCCACTAGAGGCGCCATCCTGCCGCTAGATGATGCGGTTCGTGAGAATCCATGTTCAAAAACCCATGGGAACGCAGGACTGATACCATGGAGGCATGTAGGAGAACGCTTGGCTTGGAGGCGTCCGCCTGGCCCAATCGGGTAACGATAATGTTTCCCCAAACGGCCGGCTGCAGTCGTCGTCATGGGATGTTTGCCCACCAGGCAATATCAATTGGTCAAGTAGGAGAGGGGACGCTCGAAGATTCGACGGCGCGCCCCATACTGTTCATTAGGCCTTACGGAGTATGGAAACAAACCCAACAGGGCCAAACTACCGTAACCAGCAGCGTGGGACTGGACGTTACGATGGATACGCCCAGACAAGAATTACGGCAGAGGAGCCTGTTGCTATGCCGATCAAAGAGAAAGTTCTATTCGCACTATAGTACTATTATTTCCTCCAATGCACAGTCCAAATGGCGTAGTAAGGAACAAGGATAAAGATAGGCCCAGAACTCCGAGTATATGAAGGTGGCAATATGGACAATGGCTTGGCAATACACACACGATATCGAGGCCGACAGCTCCAGGCGTCTAGACTCCTTCTGGGGGCGTAAACCTAGCGAATCCGGTTTATCTTGAACGTGTTCATAGCAATCTGGTCGTCGACGTAATCGCTCTGCATGACGATTAGTACATAAATTTCAATAGATGGGGCTTCCAAACTCACCTTGCCCGTGATCCGCTCCAGGTGACGGTTTTGCTCGTCAATCTCCCGACCTGTCGCCTTGGCCAGTCCGTTCAACCGGCCGGCTGCACCCGAAAGCAGGTGTAGATTCTGATCGATCTCCGTTTCCATCGCCTCGTCTTCGCTGTCCGCCTCGAACTGGTACTTGGCACGCTCGGTGATATTCGTGCGGTGCTTGGGCATGTCCTGCTTCGCATCCCGTTCAATTTCCCGGAACGTACGCTCCATCCGCTGATTGGTGACGAAGGCCTCCTTCTGGGTACCTTCACGAACGGCTCGCTCCTCACGGTGGGTGTTCAACATCTTCTCGTCGCGCTCTCGTCGTCGTCGGGAGCTGGTGAACGGGTTCGAGACGTGCACCGCGAACATGCTCTTGTTCAGGGTCTTGAGCTCCTTAGCCTTCTCCTCGGCAATGCGACCCTCAATGGTAGCCATGTCCAGATTCTTCTCGGTGTCGTGGATACGCTCTCCCTGAGCACCCAGACGGGCCAGGGTTTCCCGACCAGTCTCCTCCGCCTGGGCCGCAATACGTAAGGCATTGCGAGTGGAAGCGACGTCGCCCTGCTTGATAAAGCGGATATCCTGCTTAATGGCCTGGATTTCCTCCTCCTCCTCCTCTTCAGCTGTCAGGTTCCGTTCTGAGTATGTGGCGGTGGTGTAAGCGTTGCTGCCACCTCCGTAGGCGTCGGGACCACTTGCGGGACCTCCTGCCGAGTATGGTGGAGGAGGACCATTCTGCTGCTGTTCAACAGCCCTTTCTCTAGCATCGCCGAAGAGAGCATTCCGAGTGGCATCGTCGGGTTCGTTAACGCTACCCAGTCCTCCGTAGCCACCAGGGCCATAACGGGAGGCGGGAGCGGCAGCCGCGCTACTACCGCCACCGAAGCGATCGCTACCATACCCCCCCTGACCGCCATACTTGTTTGGCGCATATCCGCCCCCTTGATACTTGTTATCTCCAGGAATGCCGCCGGGGGCCGCCGGCGGACCGCTCATGGAGCCGGCAGCGCCAGGCTGTTCATTGGGTGGGAGGGGGGCGACACCCGCGTTGATCTTGGCTCTGGTGTAAGGGTCGGTCGGAATGGGCTTTGCGTAGGGATTCGAAGGAGGAGCCGGGCTCTTGCTCTTTGACCGGGAGCCGAATAGTGCCAGACGATTCGGGGAGTCGTCGTCCTCGGATTTCTTCAGGCCGAATCTGCCCATGGTGGTGGATATGTGGCGGATTCGAGGGGGTAGATGTAGTTGTAGCGGGAGGCGAAGAAGGTCCAAAGATCACCAACAAAACCACAGAGAATCAAGAAATAATGAAAGACGACAAAAGAGAGAGAATAGAAGCGCGAGAGGAGGATTGAGAGAGGGAGAAGATGATGAAGAGGGGGGGAGAAGGAAGAAATCTGAAACCTTGAAGTGTCAGGGGAGCTTCAGGCAAATCATGGCGAAGGGTCCTGATTGTCTGCATGTATTGCTGTGACGGAGGCGGCTGTGGCTTATCGTAGGGAATGATAAGGGATGCGACCATACAGTACAGTATCTTACCATCAATACGTGGCAGTGTCTGGAAGTCCTGGAGCTAAACCCAAGACGGCAAGGTGCACTGCCCCAGCCGCAAACGAATCACGGTCGAACTTCGGCCAGGCAACCTCATCGTTGCTTCTATTCTTGTTCATATCTATTGTATACTCTTCCTCAGCCTCCCTCACCGTCTTTAACCCCGAGAAATAATGCTGCCTGTCTGACCATGGCGCCGTATCTCAGGTCTGATGCCGACTACCTCAAGGACAAGACGCGTAGGGACTTGTTGACTCTCCTTGAAGGCGTGAGTAAGGCTCCTTCTCTGCTGCATGGGAGTACACCATGACTATGACTCCTCTTCGTGCGTGGGCTGAGAATTCGGTTTAGGTCCGGGGAAAGAAGAATTTAGTCGTGAGCCAGGATCTGGCTGGACCGATCGGGCTCTTTGTCAAGTTTTCCACGCTCCAGGAGTATGGTGTAGACCGTGTATTCCTCCTCGAGAACGCCAATGTGGACTCGTCCCAGCGCAATGTGGTATTTCTAGTCCACGCCGAGAAGTCACGCCAGGTGCGGACCGTGGCAGGTATGTCTTAAATGGCCCGCTTCCATCGTTTTTGCACATCATTCAATACCCTACACGCGGATCTCCATGATCCTTGATGGGCTGTGAAATGGGACAAACAGTAGATTACGCAGACTCTCTCCTACTCTACGTAGTCAGTCGAGCTCCCTAAATCAAGCATCAACTCTCGATGCAGTCAGCTCATCCCTAAGGCTTTCATTCTCAACCACTCCGACTGGATGCCATCAGTATGGGCTAACATCTCTTTAGAACAGGTCAAGCGTTTGCAGCGCAACGGCACCGTGGAACATGAAATCTCTATATTCTGGGTTCCTCGACGGACCCTCGTAAGTAACTCGATTCTTGAAGAAGCCGGTGTCATCGGAGATGTCAATATCGCCGATATGCCTCTGTACTTCGTGCCTCTGGAGCAGGATGTCCTTTCCTTGGAGCTTGGAGACTCTTTCGGTGACTTATACCTGGTAAGGGCGCTCGCTCACAGAATAGAGCGCACGGTTATTAATACTATTGCAGAACAAAGACCCAGGCTGTGTGTTCCTTGCAGCAAAAGCGCTCATGGACATCCAGCAAAGACATGGGTACTTCCCGCGTATCATTGGCAAGGGTGACAATGCTCGACGACTCGCTGATCTCTTGCTACGGATGAGGAAAGAACTTGATGCTGAAGAAAGCTCGGGTTTGACTGATCTCTCTGCAAGAGGTCTCCTGCCGAGTGCAAGCACGGAGAGCTTGATTATCATCGATCGGGAGGTCGACTTTGGGACGCCTCTCCTCACTCAACTGACGTATGAGGGTCTGATCGATGAAACTGTTGGCATCAAACATAACCAGGCGGATGTCGACACCGCGATCGTGGGCCCGACGTCAGTACCTCAAGCACAAGAGTCGTCGAAAGCCCCCCAACAGACCTCCAAACAAGGTCAAAAGAGGAAAATCCAGCTCGACTCCACAGACCAACTCTTCAGCCAATTGCGGGATGCGAATTTCGCTATCGTTGGCGATATCTTAAACAAAGTAGCTCGCCGCCTGGAGAGTGACTATGAAAGTCGCCATACGGCAAAATCGACGACAGAGCTGCGCGAATTTGTGAATAAGCTGCCTTCGTATCAATTGGAACACCAGAGTCTTCGAGTTCACACCAACCTGGCGGAGGAAATCATGCGAAACACTCGCTCCGACTTGTTCCGCAAGATCCTGGAAGTGCAGCAGAATAACGCCGCAGGTACAGACCCGACATACCAACACGAAGCAATCGAGGAACTTATAGCCCGAGATGTACCCCTGAAGACGATCTTGCGCCTCCTCTGCCTAGAGTCTTGCATGTCGGGCGGTCTTCGGCCGAAAGACCTTGAACACTTTAAACGACAGATTGTCCAAGCGTATGGATATCAACACATCCTCACTTTCAATGCGCTGGAGAAGATGGAACTATTGCAGCCCCGTTCCTCCGCCACCATGATGCTACTTCCTACGACTGGCTCCCAGACGGGATCTAAAACCAATTACAACTACCTGCGTAAGAATTTACGTCTGGTCGTCGAAGAAGTCAGCGAACAAGATCCAAACGACATCGCCTACGTTTTCAGTGGTTTTGCCCCGCTTAGTGTACGTCTGGTTCAATGTGTGCTCCAAAAGCCTTATATCCTCTCTCTCATTCGCGGCGGCTCAACGACGCCACTTACTACGGCTCCTCGCCCAGCCAGCACGGCCTCACCGGGTTGGCTCGGGTTCGAGGACGTCGTCAAAAGTGCTCGCGGGGCGACATTTAGCATCGTCCAAAAGGGAGACGACAAGGCTGTACGTGCCCGACAAACCCTAAGTGGAAATGGCGCCACGAAGACCGTGTATGTGTTCTTCCTCGGGGGAATCACTTTTGCAGAGATTGCAGCGTTGCGGTTCCTCGCGGCGCAAGAAGCCCCACAACGAAAGATTGTGATATGCACCACGAGTATAATAAACGGGGATCGGATGATGGATGCGGCGGTCGAGAAGGGCAGCTTCGCGAAGACTGAGTAGTCGTTCTGCGACGAGAATCAGTGGGGGTTCATCACTTCTACCTTCTAATAATTATGACCAACTTCTTGTAACGACTCTTCTTTTAGCCATTGCAGATAACACGACGTGTATACACATGGATATCTCATTGTGCTCAATATCGAACCGTAGGTATATATGCCTAGGCTTAGTATTTGAACCCTGAATTGACGCCCATCAACCTCCCCTGGTACCTCTCCGTTACCTCTCCCAGTTTGACCATAACACCAGCAGCCAGCATCCTCAACTGTTCTCTTGGATCATCCCCTTGCACCACAGGTGTTCGGTCGAAGACTTCCCCAGTCCACTCACGCAGTTCGAGAACTTGGGTCGCAAATTCAGTGACAAGACGTTCCTCACCAGAGCTACCGGAGGCAACGTTCAGGTCGATCACCGCAAGGAAGAGGGACAGAAGTGCAGACAAGACGGACGGGTCGTCGGAAATAGGTCGCGAGTACAGGGAGAGCAGAAACGACAGCGTTTCATGCGTGAGGGTCGGTAGGAAGGGGTTGTGAGGGCCCATTGTTGATAGAATAAGAGTGAGTGTCTGAATGAAGAGACAGAGGATATGAGGGACAAAGAAGGGGTTGTATGATGGCGAGGTAGATCTGAGAATTGTCAAAATTAGCTTCTTATCACGACGGGGGCCTAAGAGAGAGCGTACGATGAGAACTGTATGAGCATCATTTCGAAGCGGCCTTTGAGAGGGAAGAAAAACCCCTCCGACAGGACCTTATGTAGATCTCTAACCGTCGACTTCTGCCGCTGAGCCTCGCGCTGCTGGCGTTTCTGTTCGACTTCCATACGCGAAGAAAATGTCCGGACTTTCAGAGCATTCGGCCCAGATGCTGCATCTGCAGCGTTTGCGGCCAGCGGCTGGAGCGATGCCTGTGATAATTTTTTTGTGAGGCTGGAAATGGGGGACTCGTTGTTCGTATACAGGGCCTCCAGGTTTGCAGGCAGTTTTTTCGATGCAAAGGTCGAGTCTGGCAGCGCCGGGAGACCTAGTGCTTCCGCATCTTGCTGGCCGGTGCCGGCTAGCTCACGAGCGCTAAGACCCAGGGCTGTGAGGACCGCTGACCGCTGGACCTGAGAGAGATCGCCGTCGAAAAAGATTGCGGAGAACCAGCGGCCCATCTTCAGAGGGTTAGAGACGACCAAAGCAATCATGCTTTGCAGGCGGTATTCGTGAAACTTGGGTAGTTTGCTTTGTTCCTGCAGACCGACTGTGACAAGAGCCAGCTCTTCGATGTTTTCCGCAAGCTCGGTGCCAAACCCTGTCTTACGTCGGATCAATGATGGGGCTGTAGTCAGTGCCAGCTCATAGCGTTCTACATTCTCCGTGTCACGCAGATATGTTATGAGATCGCGGATGTATCTGAAAACGTCAGTTGTTTGGTACTGAGGTACTAGCGCCAGAGATACACGTACACAGGTGCTGTCGGTTTGTTACGCTGAACCAGAGTGGGATCATCATCGGAGTCTGAAGGGTCTTCATCTGGCTTCTCGTAAGGTATTAGATCGTCTTCGTCGTCTGAAAGCTCGGTTGCTGCATCATCCACCTCTTCGATGGACACAATCTTTGCTGTTTTCTGGCGAGGTGTCGAGGCAGGAGTGGTCTTTGTGGCACTCTTTTGTAGAGTTGGCAGGTTTTGAGGAGCTCGCAGCGATTCCAACGAGCCGATGCTGTCCTTGACTTCGAGTAGGCTCAAATACCAGAGGGCCTCTTCACTTTCCATTTCGTCTAGGCCGAACTTCATTTCTTTACCTGGTTTTTCGACCAACAGTGACACTGCAGTTCCAATGATCATGCCTAGGAAGCGAGCTTTTGTAGAGGATGCTGCTAAACGATTTGAGACGGTATTTAGGAAGACGCCTGAGTGCCCTAACTCCTTTACCGCCCAGTGATTTAGGCGTTGGAGAGATCCAGCGGCTAGAAGAATAACTTGTGTGTTTGCTGGATTGGGTTAGATATAATGTAGCACATCTAGGGCTTCGCGAGCGTACCTTCCTGGCTTCTCATGGGAGCATGCTTAATATAGAATTTGTCGTTCGACTGCTCCAGGCTTTTGGTGAACAAAGTTCTTATCAAGTCTGCGTAACGAATGTCAACAAAGTTCGAGACCATGTTATGACAGATCCTACCTTCGCTATCACCGAAGCCAGCCAGCAAGGCCCGACGGAGTCCAGAAGTCTGTATAGAGCCACCTTGGCCTTTGGAAAGCCAATCGATCAATTGTCCCTGCAATTGAGGCCTGCTACCCACCAGGTTTGAGCATAGGCCGGCAACTGCGCAGACAACCGGACTGGTGGATGGCTGGGCGACGCTTCCAGAAAGCTCTGTTGAGAAGTATTTCTTCTCGATATCGCGAAAACTGGCCTCCAGAAACGCGACTTGCTCTGTCGGGCGCAGGTTATCAAACAAAGAAGTGTACTGCGTGGAGTGTGCTTTATCGACGAGAAGACCGGTATAGACTTCGCGCACCAATTGATCTGCTGGGAGTATTAGTAACAGGACGGAGTGTAAGTAGCTGTTAGTTCAAAGTACCTGTGTAGCCAAGGCTCAACGCGCGTCCCATCAGAGAGGCCAGAGCCTTCCACGCCTCCGCGTTACCGTGTTCTAGCTTCGACGCCATATGGCAGACGTTGGCTCCAAGCCAAGATGCGTACCGATAGCCGTCCCCTATCCATGAGATGGTGCTCTGCTCAGATTCTTCAAGCAGTGATAGAGCTTCTGCCGCGCTTGAGAGGACTCTGCTGGCAGCGATGAGAGACAGAAACTCCTTCCAGGCGATTTGCTTTTGGGTTGCATTGGCATAGAGCGCCTCGATATTTGTGTACAGACGCAGACAGAAATCTTTTGGTTCCAACAAAGCCGAAACAACACTCAGAGTATTTCGAAGCTGAATATGGCTCCCCGAAGTTTTCGCTTTCTCGGATGATGCTCGGGATAGTGCTACAAGAGAACGGATCTGGGCCAGCAGACAGCTGACTCCAGCAACACTGCTGAGACACCTCAACAATGACGCACGCACTTTAGCAGTTCCTGTCCTGGAACCCTGGGTTTTGGTGACCAGCAGTTCCCAATGATCAGGCACCGTGACGCTGACTAAGGCATTGAGGATCTGAGCTGTTGCTGGGCTTGCGACGCGGAGATCGAAGTGAGTTGCAGGCCTATCTTTGTTTGAGGGGTCGATGGAGACAAGCAGTTGTGCTAGCTGGTCTATGTCAGGCTTTGACCTTAGCAATGCAAGGATGTCATTTAGTGACGTTGGATCACCGGCCGATCCCAGTTGGCTCTTTTCCAAGCCATCGCGATGAGGTGCTTCTGACACGGGGGTGATAGATGATGACTGCTGATCATTAGAGACCGTCTTAATCTCAGTCAATAGGCTATCCATTGTCGAATGATCATTGTATTATCTGGATTGAGAGAGAGTAAGAGAGTGTTAGTAAAGGCTGGAGGAAATTGTTGTATGGAGCGGCGCGGTCACGTGCGGCGGCATGTATTTGGAACAGTCAACGACATGATCGGACCTTCTGCCCTTCATCTATTCAGCCTCAAACGGACTTCCCTTTATAATTTCTTGCTAGTCTCACATGTCGGGACGCATTGGACGAGCATAATCTCATATCCCGAGCTTTTTTCCGAGCTACAATATCTCTCATTGAACTCGGTTCCTCTACAGCTACCTGTCGGCGGACGCGGTGGGGGCTTCAGTGACTGCTCACCGTGCTATCTCCCTGCTATATACCAGCGAATCTCAGTAACAATGGCCACTACGGACAACCCTCTACGATGGTATGGAACAGCAGACCCTGCTTTGTTTTCTTACTGATAAATTTTAGGAAATACCTTCACAAGGTCCTGACCAAACCCGGTCCGTTCAGCGATGAGGATTGGGTTCCTGGACCGGAGACTATCAGTGCGTTGGAATCATCGAAAATCCTGTACGTATATAAAAAACAAGTGCAATCACGTTTAGCTGACGTCTCTTCAGGGTGATGTATGTTTGATTTCGCTCGATCGTACGGAGTGTCAGCTAATGAGACCGTTTCCTCTAGAGGAGCTGGTGGCCTAGGCTGCGAGATCCTGAAGAACCTGGCGCTCTCCGGGTTTAAAGATATTCATGTCATCGATATGGGTATGTGCATCCTATTATACAGGAACTATCACTATACAACCTCGTCTAACTGAACCCAGACACAATTGATATCTCCAATCTTAACCGACAGTTCCTGTTCCGGCAATCGGACATCGGCAAACCCAAGGCAGAAGTTGCGGCAGCCTTCGTCGAGAGACGGGTCAAAGGCGTCAAGATTACGCCATATGTCGGCAAAATCCAGGACAAGGATGAAGACTATTACATGCAGTTCAAGATCATCGTCTGTGGCTTAGACAGTATTGAAGCCCGCCGATGGATCAATGCGACACTCATTGGCATGGTTGATCCCGAAGACCCGGAGAGTTTGAAGCCGCTTATCGATGGCGGAACTGAAGGTAGAGAATATCAGCGCTTTCAATACAGTCAGCCGAATCACGAAAGCTAACAGAAGCACAGGATTCAAGGGCCAGGCCCGTGTTATTCTCCCAACACTCTCTTCCTGCATCGAGTGCCAGCTCGATATGCACGCTCCCCGCCCAGCCGTACCTCTTTGCACCATCGCCACTATTCCCCGACAGCCGCAGCATTGTATTGAATGGGCGCACCAGATCGCCTGGCAGGAGAAGCGCAAAGATGACGCGTTCGACAGCGACGATATGGAGCATATCGGTTGGGTGTATAATGCCGCTCTTGAACGCGCTGCGCAGTTCAACATCCACGGTGTGACCTTCCAGATGACACAAGGAGTGGTCAAGAATATTATTCCAGCGATTGCGTCGACAAACGCGGTGATCGCCGCCGCGACTACGTCCGAGGCGTTGAAGATCGCGACATCGTGTAATCCCTATCTCGAGAACTATATGATGTACGCTGGCGAAGAAGGCGTATATACGTACACATTCGAGGCGGAGAAGAAGCCGGACTGCCCGGTGTGTGGAAATTTGGCTCGGAAGATGACGGTTGATCCGAATATGACCTTGCAGGAGTTCATTGAGACGCTCGGAGAGCGTCCGGAAGCACAGCTGAAGAAGCCCAGCATGAGAACCGAAGAGAAGACTTTATACCAGCGATTCCCGCCTCAGTTGGAGGAGCAGACCAGGCCCAATCTGCAGCGGAAGGTCGGCGAGCTGGTGGAAGACGGGGAAGAAATTGCTGTCAGTGATCCTGCGTATACCATCGACTTCCGGTACCGGTTGATCTTCAAGTAGAATAAGGAGGCTAGATATTTCCTATGGAATGAGACACGATTGCAGACACGGCTGTATTAGCATGGGGGAGATCTTCATATTGAACCGTTCAGAATGAATTTTGCTTTTTCTCTATCTGAAGAAACAATTCCGTATCCAGACTCCCAACTATAAGAAGGCCTTGACCAACTTTTTCTCTCGTAACTGTACAAAATGGATCAAAGTCACAAATCCAACGCCGGGCAATGCATTATATAATGGTTAAAATCAGAGTGCAACCTTTAACACTACCGCATGAGATCAGCCAAGCCTCTCTTCCAGCGCGCACATTTCAGCTTCAGGACCTTGACGCTTTCGAGGAAGAGGACGTCGCTGTTGAACTGGCCGGAGCTCTCAACATTGAAGATGAAGTGGTCGCGTACCCGACCGAGCTTCACCTTGCCCTGGAATTCCTCGTGTCTCAGACATTCTCTGCTGACGGTGTCGTTGAAGGCGTCACGGACGACAGCCTTCATTTCACCTTCGTGACCCTCGTATCCGCTTCCTTTCTTCGCCGCCTCCTCACGGGTGACGGGCTCAAGCCCGATGACGCCGCGCGGGAAGCACTTAGCAAACTTCTTCGCATCGTCGCCGATGATGGGACGCTCAATCTTGATATCCGGAAGGAGACGGTAGGAGGCGGTGCAGACAGGGGAGAACTTGGCGTGGTCGGCTCCGATGCCCTTGATGCAATGGAGTTCCATACTGATCTTCTGGCCGGGCCGAAGCTTAGCGATCAGAATATCCGGGTTAACGGGCTGAATGGCGTCATCGCCGGTGAAGAACTGCTCCTGGCGACCGACAGGGTGGAAGGTAATGTCCTTAGCGTAGACGTGGGCGTTCCTGTACAGCTTGCGGGGATCGTCTTCGTCTTTGGCGGCGTTGGGGTTCTTGGTACACTCGACATCGAGTCGCAAAACGATAGTGTTGTAGTCGCTGGGAGTGCTGCCGCTCTCGGGGTCATCATCGGTGGGTTTCTTGAACCAGCGCATCCAATTGATGCCCTCTACGGAGCCCTTGAGGGGGATAAGACCCAGTCGCTGCGCGAGGACCTCATCCTGGATGACGGAGGTGTTGTTGTGGACAAAAACGTATTCGATTGCAAGAGTGGGAACCTCCGCCATGAGAATCCGACGGAAAGCATTTGCGATTGCTGCGTCAAGGCCCACGAGGGAGAAGGAGGCTTCGAACGGGGCATTCCGGTGGAACTCGACTTTGAAATCCTGTGAAAGACGTTAGCGCATATGGCAAACTTCATACGGCTTGCCCACTAGGGTTGTAAGCTAACGTACATTTCGGAACTTGTCCAATGACCATTCGTGGGATTCTCCAGGCCAATGACCGGGGAAGTCGGTAGAGGGGATATTGGAGACGGTTTCCGGATTGATGCTGACGAGCTTGGAAAGTGTTAGTATCTTGGATGATATGGAATTTTGTTGCATATAGTAATACACACCCGTCTGCGGTCCAGCTCCGCCTGTGTGGGAATGAGAGGTGCCATGGCGAAGGGAAAGGAAGACGGCGAGTTGAGCAAGACGAAGTCGACTGAGGGGAAAAGGAAATTGATGCGATGGAAAAAGTTCTGTAAGAGGCGGCAGTATGTCGGAGGCGGTGAGAGGAATGAGGTCCACTAAAACACACCCATATCGGAAGCGGAGTGCAGGCTAGCGTGAGTGGAGTATAGATGGGCCAAAAGACCAACCAGAACGCGGCTGATGACCAAGCCACGTGACCGCCCAAATTGTATCTCAGCGCAACCTCCCCCAGTGTCCATCCAAAGCAACCGGCATTCGATCTCCGACCTTCCTCCCCATCCATTGTCTCTCGTCGGACTGAGGATCCGCCTACCTCTCCCCTCCTCTCTCCCTCTCCTTCCGAATGGCTGCATCTTTCACTCGCCTGGCGGGCAATGCGCCCAAAAGGCTCGGTCTCCGCCCCTCTTCCATCAACAGACACACCACGGCCGTTCCGCGATCCCGCTCGATAACCACTTCCCTACCCCGTCGGTATGCGGAGCCCACCAGCTATCAGGCCACCAGACTCATTCCCACCGATCCTACCTTCACGCATCTGGCCAACAAGGGAACTGCCGAGGCTCCCGAGGTGGCCGCCGGTCTCGAGTCTGAGGACGAAGGGGTCGGCCGCAAAATCCGTCACTACACTGTCAACTTCGGTCCTCAGCATCCCGCCGCTCACGGTGTGCTTCGGTTGATTCTGGAGCTGAATGGTGAGGAGATCGTGCGGTCCGATCCCCACGTCGGTCTCCTCCACCGTGGTACTGAGAAGTTGATCGAGTACAAGACCTACATGCAGGCGCTGCCTTATTTCGATCGATTGGACTACGTCTCCATGATGACGAACGAGCAGTGCTTCTCCCTCGCGGTTGAGAAGCTTCTCAACATTGAGATCCCCGAGCGCGCCAAGTACATCCGTACCATGTTCGGTGAAATGACCCGTATCCTGAACCACCTCATGTCTGTTCTGTCCCATGCTATGGACGTCGGTGCCCTGACGCCATTCTTGTGGGGTTTCGAAGAGCGTGAGAAGCTCATGGTAAGTACTTGACCGCCTGATAATCACCATTATCACCGGTAGGCATAGTTCTCTGACCGATAAATTTCTTCGATAGGAATTTTACGAGCGTGTCTCCGGTGCCCGTCTCCACGCCGCCTACGTCCGCCCTGGCGGTGTGTCCCAGGATATTCCCCTTGGCCTGCTTGACGACATCTACCAGTGGGCCACGCAGTTCGGCGACCGCATTGACGAGACCGAGGAACTGCTGACGGACAACCGTATCTGGAAGGCCAGAACTCAGGGTGTGGGTGTCGTCAACGCCGCTGATGCGCTGAACATGAGCTTCACTGGTGTCATGCTCCGTGGATCTGGTGTGCCATGGGATATCCGTAAGTCCCAGCCGTACGACGCCTACGACAAGGTCGAGTTCGACGTCCCTGTCGGTGTCAACGGCGACTGCTACGACCGTTACCTCTGCCGTATGGAGGAGTTCCGCCAGTCCCTGCGCATCATCCACCAGTGCCTGAACCAGATGCCCGCTGGTCCCGTCAAGGTCGAGGACTACAAGATCAGCCCGCCTCCTCGTGCCGCCATGAAGGAGAACATGGAGGCTCTGATCCACCACTTCCTCCTCTTCACTAAGGGTTACGCCGTGCCCCCGGGTGAGACGTACTCCGCCATTGAGGCCCCCAAGGGTGAAATGGGTGTGTTCCTGGTCAGTGATGGTAGCGAGAGACCCTACCGTTGCAAGATCCGTGCTCCTGGTTTCGCCCATTTGGGTGGTTTTGACCAGGTTGCCCGCGGCCATCTTCTGGCCGATGCTGTCGCCATTATCGGTATGCTTGAACTTTGTGGTTTCCCTGATTGATCCCCGCTAACCAAGAGCTAGGAACGATGGATCTGGTGTTCGGTGAAGTCGACCGGTAGACACGGGAAATCAAAACCAAAGAAAAAGAACGAAACGGAGGAATAGACTGATGATCATCGCCCACTTCTGTAAAAAAGAGCCAGCGCATACCCGATACACTGGAACCTCGTCGCAAGCGAGAGCCCAAAGAGAAGCTATTGCATTTCTGTTTTCTGTATGTGCGAGGTTGTAAAACTACAGGAGAGAGGTGAGGAGCAACCAGGCGATTCCGCAAGCTGTACCATTGGTATTCTCTTTAATGGCGTTTTACCTTTTATATCTCATTCCTGTTTCCTTTGTCTCATTTGTCCGTGCCATCATCTCTTGCGACAATCAAACTGTGTATAGTGACATGTCGATTACAATATCTACCATGTTTCAGTAGCTTGACTCGATCTGTCATTTGCGATACGTGACGTAGCTGGTAGGTATCTGTCAGACGGACGATAGATGCAACAAGATAGAACCGCGCAGACCAAAAACGCCACAGGAGCAGTGATGTGTTGAACAGATGACAGTCACAAACTGATGAGCCCAGAATAGAATGCACACATCACGCCTAGTTACTCCCATAAAGAAATACGCCAATGAGATGCAAAGAAACAACCAAGACGGTATTCCTGGTCAGGCGCAAATCCTGCCGAGGTAAATAGGCAAATAACCAAGAGAGAACAAGGGCAGAAAGGACGGACCGGAGGCAGTCACATCCTACACATTATCATCATCGTAGTAGAAATTGATATCGCGCGGTCGACGACGGTTATACGAGACAAAATCCTTATCGCCGGGGGGCCGCTCGTCGCGCGAGTTGGCGGTCAACATGCTCTGGATGCTCATGCAGACGCTCTCGACGGTCTGGACGGGCGACCAGCCGGCCGAGCTGAGGAGGTCCAGGCAGATGATGCCGTTGCTGTAGATGTGTGGGTGGATGGGGATGGGGCGGGGGGTGTCGGAGGAGCTGGGGAGTTCGATGAACTGGACTTCTGGGGGTTCTACCAGACGATTCGTGTTAGCTGTCTGACGCTGGTTGTGGGTTGCGCGGACAGAGAAAAGGGGGCAGGGGGGAGACGCACCGATGGGGTATTTTGACGAAAAGGTGAATTTCAGCCGGTAGGTCTGGTTCTGGTAGAGCGGGTTGTCGTCGAGGACGCGGATGTCCATTTGCCATTCTTCGAGGTTGTCGGACTTGGCGATCGTGATTCCCGGCGGGACGTGTTCTTTCATCTGGGTGGGTTAGTGGTGGTGTCGGTGTGTGTGGTCGAGAGTGTACCTTTAGGAGCTCCTGCGGGCATGTTAGCTGCGTGGTCGATGAGGGGTAGAGGAGTCTCACCTTGCTTAAGCGCTTGGTTGCAAACATCTTGACGAACGTGCCACAAGCAGTATGTACAGACAGTAGTGGCTCGAGTAATCGATCGCGGTGTTTCGCTAATGCGACCAAGCAAAAATCGTGGGCGGACTCGACGCTGGGCCGTCGAGATGTATGACGTCTGACACCGCGGGGAGATCCGCAGGCGGTGATGTGTCGGCCACGAGGCGATACGGGGGGATACCGAGAGGTCGAGTACAGTCAAACGAAAGAATAGAACGAGACCACAAGGAAGCGCGTCCAAGGGAATTGGGAGGATATTAAGGGAAGAGTGAGGAGAGGAGGAGAAAGTCGAGCGAGATAAAGAGGCTCCGCGGGACGATCACCTGCCATCGCCCGATCACCTGATTCAGTCATATTGAATTCATTCTACACAACATTCACCGCAACAGACCAGCTCAACTGAACATTCACAATAGCATGTGCACTCTGTGTGACTATAGACGGGGAATCATGGGAATAATATTCACAAAATAATTCAAAAGCATGACCCGTCGCCCCGTGCAGCATGGGCAGGGCCAGAATCGAAAGAAAGAGGACCATGTATTAACAGACAATCGCCTGAGAAAACGCCAACCCCAAGATGAGATCCTTACGGGTGGGCCTTCTCCCTGGCTTCGCGCTCCAGCCGCTCGCGCTCCTCGTTATCCTTCATCTCACGGACCTTGGCGAGGACCACCTCGCGGAAGATCGCCCCGCGCGCGATCTTGCTCAGACTCCGCTTCTTGGTAGTGCCCGGTTCACCACCGCCAGCAGCGGTGCCCCCATTCGCATCCCCCTTTGCCGGGGAGTCGGCGTCAGAGCCAGCAGAAGCGGCCATATCGGCCGGGCTGGGGATATCGTCGTCATCCTCCTGCATCTTGAGGGCTTCGATGCGGTTGGCGAGCTTGATGATCTCGATGCCCCGGCGCAGACGGGAGCGAGCGATGTAGGCGCGGATCTCGGGCAGCAGATCACGGTCGCTGGCAGTCTCACCGGTCAGCCAGGGGTGCTTGAGAGCGACCTCGGAGGTGACCCGGCGGGAGGGGTCCGGCTGGAGCAGGGTCATGATGAAATCCTTGGCATCCTGGGAAACATCTCGCCAGTACCGATCGTGGAAAATGATGCGGCCTGACCGACATTCTTCGATCAGGTCGGAGAGGTTCTCCGATCGGAAGGGCGAATAACCGCATAGAAGCGTGTAGGTGATCACACCGAGGGACCACATGTCGACGGCCTTGCCGTGACCCTGTTTAAGCATGACTTCCGGAGCGGCGTAGCCAAACGACCCGGCCATGGTGGTGAGAACTTCGGAGGGGTTTTCGAGCATCTTGGCAATGCCAAAATCGGCGAGGACGAGGGGCGACTCCGGTTCGCGCGTCAGGTAGAGGAGGTTTTCCGGCTTCAAGTCTGTCTCTCGTTAGATGCGGGGCTGAATGATGGGTGGTTGCGGCAACTCACCTCGGTGGACGATGTTGCGCTCGTGCAAGTAGTTGACGGCATCCAGCACCTGTCGGATTGTTTGCGAGGCGTCTTTCTCGGTGAACTTGCCGTACTCGCAGATGCGGTCGAACAGCTCGCCACCAGTCGCCAGCTGAGTGACGATGTAGAATTTATCCTGCGATATTATTAGTGCATGTGATGCAAGGTCGTGTCCGGATATCAACTCACTTTCGATTCGAACCAGTCCACAAAGTGAACGATGTGGGGATGGTTAAGGGCCTGGAGCATCTCCAGCTCATCGTAGACCATGCGCTCGTTGCCCTTGACGTTCTTCTTGAGAATAATCTTGATGGCGACCTTCCCCGAGCTACACTCGGCCTCGCGGACAATACCGTATGTACCCGCACCGAGGGTTCTGCCGAATTTATATTGCGCCCTGTTGCGCGAGATCATGTGTTATTACAACGACTCCAAAGGGAGAGCAGACGCAGGGGCAGATCGTACTTCTTTTCGTAGCTTTCGGGCTGCCCCGAAAGCTTATTGAGCATGTTGGAGACTGCACGAGGAGATGTTAGCATCACTGGTGTTATGAATAGAGGAAGGCCATGAAACTGAAGACCGAGTCCCTCGGAGGGGAAAGGTCTCCGCAAAAGAACGACAAGGAATCCGACCATATAACAGGAAGGCAACGAGTGTGCAGAGACCGACCAGGGCATTGACCCCAAGGTCCAGCGATGTCATTGCCGGCAGCACCATGACGGCGATTGACCAGCAGTCGGGTTCAGGATTTCGGAAGATCCACGAAGCCCAGCACGATGTCACCGGTGGGCCCGATCATTAGGCAGCAATTGGCCTCTGATGGGATGAACACATGGACGGAGCAATCGGGCAGATATAACACAGTACGAACGAGTTACGCGTTGCAGTGGAACTCACAGCTCATGGTGGTTGTATGGGACCGGACTGAGGGGTCCGGAAAAGCGAAATGTAGTAGTGTGCGACAAGAAGATTAGACCCCGCACGCGAGGGGGATAGCGGGGCGCAGAGATCAGGGGACTGAAGAGGAGAGCGAGAAGGCCGATGAAGGAGAGAAACAGACGGAGTCGGACCTGAACGAGGGACACGGTCAGCGGCGATCGGGGGAGAGAGTGGTATAGGGGAGAGTTTGTTGTTGTTGACCTACTGGATGGAGGGCTGTGCGCAGGCCGGCCGATACGGAGATGATCAGAGGGGATCGCTGCCGGATGATGCGTAGGAAGAGACGGGGGAGAGAGAGGAGCTATGACCGACCAGGAGCAGGTAGAGAGGATGAGGAGATTGAGAGAAGAGAATAAGGAGGAAGAGAAGAAGGAGACGAGACGAGACGAGACGAGACGAGAAGAGAAGAAAGAGTCTGGGCCGTGGAGAAGAGCGGGGGCCTGGCGATGTTTCAGCCTCACACGAGCGCAGCGAATTTCCGAGATAAATTAATAGGACACGAGTGAAATGGTCCTCAGGGCTGAAAGGATCAATTTCACTTATATATACACCAGGAAAAGGCCCAGACAGCTTGAGAATGCATGAGGCAACCACTTTCTGCCCCAAGATGAGGCGGTGCAGACGATCCATGGAACTATTCCCGATGTACGTATACTGATCTACGCCCATCTCACCAGTTGACACACCACCAGGCCAACTACCAATGCCATGGACGACACTCCCATACCACGACTCCCGTTGTCCTTGCTGTCTTTATTCTGACCAGCTGCACTGGTCTCATTCCCAACACTGTTGTTGTCACTGGTCGCACTGGTAGCCCCCGCAGCCTCGCGCTCCTGTACCAGGTTCGACGCGAACAAGCTGGTCGCGCTCACCTGCTCCTGCATGTTGGCCGTTCCATCCCAGTCTGCATGGTACCAGCGTCGACCGCAGAGCGTCTGGTTGGCACCACCGCTGCATTGCTTCGCCGCAGCCACCGCCGAGCTCTTCAGCTTGGGCAAGATATCCGCGGCCGTGTACGGCGCGACCGCGGAAGTGAACGCCAGCGCGGATGCCAGCTTGCCCTTGAACAGAACCTGGTCTTTGGCGCAAGTATCGATAGGCTCACAGACGACCTCCGTCATGACCTCGCCGCCACCGTACTTCTGCGGGAAGAACGTCTTCAAGGTGGAGTTGAGAAGCCCACTGACCCCAGACTTCCACTTTGCATCTCCGTGCGTCTGTCCCCAGTTAGCCTGATTCGCACGGACATGCAGCACCCTGCAGCCTTACCAGGTTATACATCGACGCCGCGCCCCCCAAATACGAAGCATAATTGATCGTCCACTGGAGCGCGCCAAACTTCCCACAGTCGTCGGCGACGTCGGTGCTATCCTTGACCGCCCACGTATCATTCCGCACCAACCCGACCGTCACGCTCCAGTCCCAGACCTTCTCCGCCCACTGTACATACGTCTGGTTATCAGTCTGGAGGCCCAGTCGAGCCGCCAGCTCGAAGAAGCCCCCGTTCACCAACGCCGACTTCAGCATGTATCCCGCCTGGTACGGCCAGGGCTGCCAGCGCAGCCCACCGCCGCAGATGTCCGTGTCCCACCGCTGCGCCAAGTCGTCGAAGACGTTCGCCGCCAGCGTTGTCCACGACGGCTTGTCGTCCTCCGCCGGGAAGCTCACCTCGGCAGCGCGCATCGCCGCAAGACCCCAGGCGATTTGGTCGTCGTTGGACATGAACGCGCTGTAGTTCGTCGGCATGTAGTCGTTGTTGTCGCCGCGCTGCCAGTACATGCTTTGCTGCACGGCGGCGTTGTTGGACCCGTCGCCTGTGTAGTACCAGTAGTCTATGAGCGTGGCGAACACTTGCGCGCCTGTAGAGTACGACTGCGGGATGTAACCTGGTGTCCCGCCGGTGTGGTTGCCCGTGTATTTGCTCATCATGTTGAAGGAGGCCGTTGCGGCGGCATCCTTGATGGATTCTGCGTGCGTTAGCGGATCCATCGACATGTCTACGGGTGTAGAACGCACGAGGGTCGTTGATATCCAGTTGTAGAGCCGAAGCCGTGCTGGCCAGAACGGCCGCCCCAAGCCAATTGATCATCATTGTGGGAGAATAAGGTGCTGAGGTTGGGGAAATGCCTGAGTGCCACTCTAGTAATATTATAGCATCCTGGGTCGTCCTGTAGACACAGCCTAGTCTCTAAGCGGCGCAGTTGTGGATTGGTTTGAAGCTAGTTTCACATTGACCAGTTCCCATGCTCGCTTACATTCGAGCGAAGGATTGATTCCTGCTGCAGGTGCTAGTATCATTATCATTATTGGTCGTAAGTGTCATCTCGACTGATCCTCCTGTCAGCCCTCATTAAACGCCAGGCAATGTAACTCCAACATGTTGTGACTCCCAATCCTCGAATTTGACCAAACAGAACCCCAAACACCAATACCAGTGACATCTCCATCTACCGCTCAAGATACAGCTCGCTCATCACCGCCGTACAATACGCCTGATAGTACTCTGCGCCCTTCCATCCCCGCTGGACCGCCTTCAACCCAACCGTGTTCCAACCGTCGGCACGCAATCTCGCAATCCGCTGCTCCTTCGTCTCATGGATAGTCGCTCCGCGTGCGGATAAAACAGGCGTCTCACGGGCACGCACGCTGCCGTCCTTTACAGGACTGAAGCTCCAGAACGACGCAGAGCGGCGAAAATTGCGCGTCGCCCGGCGCGCCTCCTGCAGCTCGGTGGTCTCGTCGATCAGGGCATGGATGGCAGCAATGCTCGCGTTGATCTCCACGCGCAACGACTGGAGGCTGCTGTTGTAGCGGGTGACCGATGGGTCAGGCATGCGCGGTGTCTGGGGGCTCTTGCGCGCGGGGAGGCCTCTCTGCTGCGGCGTGGCTGCTGACGGCGTCTGGACCCTGGTAGATGGCTTGGGGGGTTCTCTGCGCCGAGAACGAGGGCTGGATGTCCCAAAGGGAACGATTTTGATCGGGAGGGGTGGGGGTCGCGCTCGTACGGGCCGTTCCGTCGTGCTGCTGGGTGTTTTGGATGGCGTCGAGTTATCAGGATCGCTGGTAGCGAGCTTTAGGGGATGAAGGTGTACGGTTTGGTTGTCGGTGGACCTGTACACTTTCAACGGCGCAGGGATCACACGCGGTTTGTCGGGTTTGGGTTCTGCGTGTGCGGTTCGCAGTTTCGACTTGAAGAGTGTCTCCACGGCGGTGTCTGTGTCAGAGATAAAAGGGTCGTCGTCTGCACTATCGATGCCCTTGTGGGTCATGCCGGTGATGCTGACGAAACTGCCCGCGGACGAGGGTCTGTCAGAGAAGAGCGAGTCACTGAACGAGCATTGACTGGAACCGCGGTCGTCTTCTTCAATGGGGCCTGGAAGCACAGCGCTGCAGGTGACGAAGCAATCCAACGCCGAATGGAGGAGAGAGAGCTTCTTGTTGGAGTAATCATGCGCAGCGCGTCCCATCGCCTCGTAGGAGATGGCGCTGTAGAAGTAGAGGTATGTGCTGTAGACAGGGTGGATCTGATTCGCGTTAGATGAGGACGACCAGGAAGAAAACGAGCATAGCTTACTGGCTCCGGGGCCATATGGAGGATGTCAAAGGCGCGTGTCGCGCATTGTTTGTATTGGCGCTGGATATACAGCAGCTTCACTTCCTGGAGCAGACATCTCCACTGGCGAGAGGACTGCGGTGAGGCTTCAAAGCGAGACGAGAGAAGAGTGATGGGCGGCATGGCGTGATAGCATGATGAGGAAGAAATGACGGAGAGAGAAAACCAAGATGAAGGAAACGAGAGAGAGGTGATGAAGAGAAGTATATGAGGGCTTCCGCCACCGGTAGGCATACAACGGCATATCACCAGGAATGTCAGCCCCTCGACCCCTCCACTCCCAACTATTCAACTATCCAACTATTCCACCCCACAGCGTTCTCCGCATTCCACGATGGCTTCCCGACTGAACAATCCCAGGAATTTCGATCTCCCAAACCTCCAATCCTTCTACCACTACATCGCCCCGACATGGACACCGCTCCACGCCCACAGGGACGCCGCCAGCACCAGCCCCCTACGCAACCTCCGCCTTACAACCTGGAACATCGACTTCCAAGTGCCGTGCAAGAATGAGCGCACCGCCGCAGCCCTGCGCTATCTCTCGCAACGGCCGCCTGCGCCCTACCCGGAGGTGATCTTCCTGCAGGAAATGGTCGCCTCCGATCTCGAGCTGATAAAAGCCACGCCCTGGGTGCAAGACAACTTCTACATCACCGATTTCTCCACGCAGCACTGGCTAGGGAGCTACGGCACCACCACCCTCGTCGACAAGCGCCTCCCCGTGGAACGCGTATTTCGCGTTCCCTACGCCGCGTCGCGGATGCAGCGCGACGCGCTCTTTGTCGATATCGCCCTCAACCCGAACGGTATGTTCAACCCACCTGAGCCCATTCTGCCCGAGGACAGCTAATACAAACAGCGAAAACAGCCCCGCTGCGCCTCTGCAACACCCACCTGGAAAGTCTCGTGTCTGTTCCGCCGCGGCGGCCCGTGCAGCTGCGGCGCGCGGCGGACTTCATGCATGGCACCGCTGACGGTGGAGAGGTGTCCCTACCTACGCCGCATGGGGCGATTCTTGCCGGCGATTTGAACGCCTTTGCGCCCGAGGATGCTGTCGCCCCGCGGGACTGTAACCTCCACGACGCGTTCTTGGTCCTCGGCGGCCGGGACGGGACCGAGGAGAGCTTCACCTGGGGCCAGCAGATCCCTGACTGGATGCGCGAGAAATTTGGGTGTAGTCGTATGGACAAGGTGTTGTTCTGCGGGGGGCTGCGGGTGACGGCCTTGCAGAGGATTGGGGCTGGGGAGAAGATTTGGGTTGAGTATCCGAAGGGGGACAGCAACGAAGAGAGTGATGGAGAGAAGGGGGAGGAGATGTGGGTGACTGATCATTTGGGCCTGCAGGCAGAGTTTGAGATTATCTGAATGTGGCAGATGTATTATGCAGTTCAAGCTAGATGCAAACGATTGAAAAACCGCCCTCTAAAGGTCCGAATATGGTACACAGCTTCCAAATTACCACGGCTTGCTGGCCAGACAAAGGGATCCAACGATGTAACACCATGACGCGCCCACAAAACATGTCGTAAGTCATCCAAATCAACCTGTAGTCTAAGCAATCGCTAGCGCCAACAGTCAATGCACGTATCGCACAAGGTTCAAGTTATCAACATCTATTCAGAAGTCGAGCTGCGGTCTTTGCTGGAGTCGGCGCTAATCCGAGTACGAGACAGCGCCTCTCCAGTGGCAGAAAGCGCCCCCAGGAAGTCACCGAGTAGTCTGTCCAATTCAGCTGTAATGGCAGACTCGTCAGATCTTCCAGTCATCACCTCAAGCCGCGGCGGAAGTAGCTCGGGGAATTGGATAGGGCCCATCGAAGCAATACTTGATGGGGGATCACGCCTCGCGGTCGGCAAAGGCTCAGACATAGGAGACTCGTCGATGGTGGGGAAGGGCGCGTTGGCCTCAGGGGCTCTCGACGGGATGGCGGTTGGGAACGGCTCAGACTGAGGCACTGAATGATTTTCCCCGAGAGGCTCGTCTTCTTCGTCAGGACCAGGGCCGTCCAGAACAGATGATCGCTCAGGGTCGCTGTAATCCGACAATTCCAACACCGGAAACTCGTTGCTTGAGGATCTCGCATGCTCGATAGAAGCATGGGGAGGAGTGGAGGGGCGGTCGAAACGGAAGGGGTCGTAATCGGTCTCAGAGCTGACGGAGATACTGGACTTTCCGGAGGTCGATGTGGACGGTCGAGAGTCGCCTGGCTCACCGATGCTGGAGGTACGGTTGGCCGTTAAAGGTTCCTGGAGAGCCGTCAAAGGCGCTCTGAGAGTGCTGTAACGGTTATAGTCCACTGCGCTATCCTGGCTCCCTTGTTCGTTGGAGGTCATGACGGGGAAGGTCCATTCCATTGTCGCGCGTCTGCCGCTGAGATCAGCCTCTGGTGCTTCTTGCTTAGGACTTTCAGCTTCTGCCTCGGACGCCTCCTCTGTCGCAGGCTGCATGAACACGGGGAATTTCCAGTCCATAGTCGGGGGGCGTGGGCCGTTTTGGGGTTGGTAAGTCATGTCGACCGACTCGCGGGTGGCCTCAACATCACTGCTGGATGAGCGAGAACGCGCTTCGTTTGAGTTGCGCTGCTGGCGACCGCTTGATCTGTTAGCTTTGATCGTATCGGCGTCCGCAAGCTGGAAGGGCTGGGCTGATGTTGCCCCCGCAGCATAATGTGAGGAATCGAAAGATCCAATGTCAATGTCAATAAAAGTCGAGGTGACAGAGGAACGGTCGGTTTCCATGCGGAGAGGAAGGTCAGAGACTGGTGGTCGGGGCTCGACTGGCACGAAATCATTCTTGGTCTCGTATCTATAACTCGGCTTTTCTTCGTTGAAAAGACCTTCCATGGCTTCAGCGCCTCTGCGGACGCGTTCATCAAAGTTCGCTTTGTCTTCTTCGGTCATGGCGGTTTGGACAGGTTCTTCGTTCGAGTCGGATTCGACGGGACGAGCCGGGCTGTCTTCCCTTTCCATTTCCGCCAAAGACGCAGCAACTTGGTCCAGATCAATGACGGAGAACCGCCTCTCGAAGCCATCTGTAGTGCTAAAGTTCCAGTCCTCTTCAAAGTCGGACTCGACGCCTGGGACTTCTGCAGCTGCAGCTCCTCCGGGGTGAAACAAGGAGATTCTCTGTCCTCCGCGCTGGGACCACTGATAGTAGATCCGAACAAGTTCACGTAACGAGGACGTAGGATAGATCTCCTCAGAATCGGCGATGTAAGGGTGCAAGAGAATATCAGCCATAGAAGGCCGAGTAGCGGGATTCGATTCGAGAGCGAATGACACCAGATTCTTGAGGCCATCGCTGTATTTCACGTTGTCCAGCTTCGGGGTGGTACGGTTCAGTTGTCTTCCGATTTGCATACGTTCACGCAAGTTTGAGTTGGGAGGGTTGCCAGTGGCGAATTCGAACAAGGTACATCCGTACGCCCAAACGTCAATCTGTGAGGGTCAGTGAATTAGCCTCGTCCATTTCACTCATCCGTCTGATTATAAGAACTTACCTCGCTTCCGTATTTGTGGGCCTCGCCCCGGGTCGAAAACATCTCCGGCGGCATCCAATGCGGCGTCCCAATCCAGGTGGACCGTTTGTCCTTTTGTGACTGGAGGACGCCTGCCACGCCAAAGTCACAAATCTGCAAGTGGCCTTCTTCGTGGATCAAGACATTGGCAGCTGTTTGGAGTCGTTAGCATGGTTTGTCATTTATCAATTCATGGATGCTCAACAACCTACCCTTGATGTCTCTGTGGATGATGCCCGCATCATGAATGGCACGTAAACCAGCAGCGAGTTCGCGTGCCACTGGAATCAAGAATTTCTCGTCGAGGCGATCTCCTGTGGCCCGCATCTAGTGATCATACGCCAAGGTTAGCCAATGTTGAGTAAGAGATAAAGAGATAAAGAAAAAGGAATGTGTCGGGACTAACCAGAGTCCTCACACTACCACCAGGACAGTATTCGCAAACCAGCCACAGCTGCGAATGAATCGAAATAGCCTCAATCAACTCGTTGATGTTCTTGGCTCCAGCGTCCTTGACCTGCTTCATAACCTTGGTTTCGTGGATGAAATCTTTGATGGACTCGTCTTTGAAATCGCGGAGGGACTTGTAATCCATCGAATCGATATCCATAACCTTGATCGCGACAACCTTGCGAGAGGGGAGTTGATGGCCCTTATACACACGACCGTACGAGCCTTTGCCGATCAGCTCTTCGAACTCGTATGGCGGCGTTTCGGTTTTTGCTCTGCGGCACATCTCCTGTACCGCGGCTGCCTGTTCCTTGGCAAGCTTGATTGCCTCCGCTTTGTGCTTTGTGATGGCCGCCATCGCGGACGTCGGGTCCAGGAAACGAGAAGTGCGAGTGGGATCCATGATGAGGTCTTTCAATTTCGGGAACCGGGTCTTCGCCTCAGAATAGTCGCGAGTACGGCAAGGAAGATCCGGAACAGGAGGAAGCAGAGACTCCTGGCTGGCGCTTGATGAACCTTGTGACGGGTGTGCGTTTGATATCTGGTAAGGGCTGACAAACCGATTTTGGCTCAGTTGAGGCGCCGAAAGCGTGGTCAGAGCTAAAGGACGAGGAGCGCCACTGGGGAGATAGGTTGGTGTCGAATGGTAAAAACCGACGTCACTACTTTCAGCTGCGAAAGCACGGTTGACCCTTTTGTCAATGGGGTCGCTCTTCGAGCGCAATTTCAACTTCGATATCGACTTCGAAAGTTGGCGAAGATGGGAGGGTTTGCGGGTGTGAGGGGGTTGTCCAGGAACGAGAATATCACTCGATTTCTTCTTGCTGTGAGAGAACAAACTTCTAATCGCAGAAGTAATGGAGCCCGTCGAATGGTCTCGGCGGTTTCCGGGTTTGTCAGGCTCTTCAGCAGGAGAGATCTCGGGATACAGGCCTGGATTGTTTCCTTCTCCTACACTGCCACTGAGGCTGAATGGATTGGCGTCTGTGGGTAGAGGTGGGCCAATATCTTCCTTTGAGATATGACGACTGTTTCCCCCGGAGTTCTGTCTGAAGCGGCGGAAACTTGCAAGGAGATCGCTAGATGAAGATCCGTGGAGATAGGGGGTTGCTGGGATCGACGGGCCAGGCGAACCTAGGACACTCCCGAAAGATGGAGAGGCTGTATGACCGCGTTGTTCCGAGCTCGACTGCTGGTGCGAATTCGAGCCACTGCTCGGTAAAGGGTACGAAGGGGCGTCGTCTTCGAAATGTTCACGAAACCGCCCTGAGTTAGGTACGGAGCTGCAACTATTTGTTAATCGCGATCACATGGCCGATTGATAAGATGTACTCACGCAAAGGGATTGCTGTTCCCAACGGGTCTGGGGATCAACGCTAGACACGAATCAGTCAACAGCCTGTATTCAGCGAACCCATATGAGACACTGTACTTACGCTCTCGAGGAATGCCAAAGGCCCCTTGTGACGCCTGGACTGACGAAGCAGATGGGAGATTTTGAGGATGGGAACTTCCACCGGCAAAGGTGGTTGGCGAGATGCGTGCCTCGAAACCTCGACCGGGTGGAGCACTAAGGCCACACGAGTCAGCACACATAACAAGACTTGAGGAGGAATTTTCAAACCCGCAGGGGCGTCCATGGTTTTCTAGAGGGTTCTGATCTTGCATTGTCATGAAAGCTCGACGATAGCAAGGTGGAAGAAGAAAGGGAAGAAGGGAAGTCAAACGGTGAGAGGATACGTGAAAGGGAAACAGATGCGGGAGGAGGCGAGGAGGACAGGGCAGATATACTCACGTTTCTGATCACGAGGGTATACAAGACAATTTCCGTTGAACTGATGCTCAGTGACTGTCAAGGCTGATGGTCTAACGCTCCATGGATCAAGTCGTGAATTGTGAAGGCGCTCTAGCCCTAAAACCCGGACCTCGGCAAATTCCAACACGCAGAAGATATGTACCGCCTAGGTGCAATTCCTAGAGCTTCTTCCAGGTTCAATATTAGTCGTGCTAGGCCTGTTATAAGGAAAGGAAATTGGATGCTATATCCAATGCACGTTTTGATATCAGTGCGGATGATGGATCGCACAGTGGAAGTTCGCAGAGAGCGACTTTCAGTGGCGCTAAAAGCGGGAGCTAGCGACTAGCGCCAATGGGAGGCTCTCTTTTGATGGAGAAAGCAGGCACACAAAGGCCTTGGTCTGGGAAGGCCCCCGTGAAGAAAGATGAACCTTCTCCAATCAGCGATCGACGAAGGAGAATCCCGTGAAATGTAGTAACAGAAGTCTGTGGCAGGCAACGTCACTGAAGGAGATTCAATATTCCGATGCCAGATCGAAATATCCCAATGATTGGAGAAGAACAACTAGACCATTGTTAGCATCACTGCTTGTAGATCATTGAGTCACCAATATGCAATATAATCAGAGAGCAATCTGTTCAAATATATGAGCAGCAGCAGCACCGCATAGAAGACAGACTCCTCCTTAGCATGCAGGATACAGCAGAATCAGAATGTGATGGGACAGCTCTACAGGATGAAGTCACGTGAAAGAGACAACAACATGGGGACAATTCAACGGCGCTTCCAGACAGAGAAGCCAACCAAACCAGCTCATAGTGCTCAACGAGAACATGGAAGGCATCACCATACGTAAGGATATATACCAGCAGAAAAGGTGAACTTACCACTCGAGATATGTCCAATTGCTAGTGTCGGAGCGACACAAAACAAAACCGTTTTCTTTTGAACAATGCGGCAAACGGCCACGGAAAGAAAGGACAAAGAGAGTAGGATATCACGGATGCAAACAAATCTCAAAAATCTCTAAACACTCAAGCATTATGACTCGAGGGCCGCCAAGTCTCGAGTACTCCGTTCCTCAAGCGTCGTAGTTCGCAGGGCAGTCTGGTATTCTCCGGACCGGATGGGGCGAGCAAACGTTCGATTAAAGTTCGAGATCGATCACGTTACTGCCGATCTCGGCAGAAGGCTGCTCTGACCGCCTCAAGAGGACTACGTACGTATGTGGATATCACCTGAAGAATGAGAATTTTAGTACGTTTGTAAGATGAAAAAGAGCAGATAGAGCGGAGCGTGTTCAAATAAAGAACGGCAAGTGGTCTGAAAATGCCTGCATTACTGCGGTACACGTAATCTATAAAGCTGAGTATTTACTAGCAGAGTAGTCGCAGCCTCTATTCTTGACCCAAATGCATTACCCAACGATGACCCATGTTCCTTTTTTTCAGATATCGTACGCCCTCAAAGTCCGAATTCGGCTCTCAGAGATCCTCCAAAACGTGAGATGGCCTCGGAGATGGCCTCCGAACTAGCAGCCGCAAAGGTCGCACGGAAGAACATCTTGCCCTCGTTTACATCAGCAGCCTTGAACCAGCTTCCTCGAGAAACAAGGACACCGTTGTTGACCGCCGCATGGAAGATATTCTCCTCAATTTGTTCTCGAGTCTTTCCAGAAGAGAGACCGGGGTGTTTCTTCCAGTCAACCTCGATCCAGTGCTATGCGCTGTCAGTTTCTGCTACGGTGGGCATGACCATGGGTATTAGGGACTTACAAACATGCCGGCCGCAGGAGCGATCCAGGAAGCAATCTCCTTGGGAAGGTGTTGTTCGCATGCCCGGACCATGGAGTTCCTGCGGTCGGTATACGACAGTCGCAGGTTAATCAACCAGTCGAGGTATCCAGTGTGACCCCAATGCTCATCCAGGAGCTTGTAAATGACGATCTGAGAGATACCACCGGGGTTCTGGGAGGCGACTTCGCAGTTACGAATGAAGCGCTCGATGATTTGCTCGGAGCCGACAACCCAGCCAACCCGAGAACCAGGGGTGAGGACCTTGGAGAATGATTCCAGACGAAGCACACGACCGTCCACATCGATGCTCAGATAAGAGGGAATGAGGGACTTGATGAATTCCCCGTGGTTCGCAGGCGGCGGGACCGCGGAACTGTCCGCTCCTGTGTATGGCTGCATCTGGAGGAAGTAGTACGGCTCATCCTCGACAATGAAGACATTATGTTTCTGAGCCACTTGGTAGATGGCCTTGCGTCTCGCGGCCGACTGGGTAGCACCAGTGGGGTTCTGTCCGGTGGGAATAGTATAAAGCACGAACGGCTTGCGAGCACCGCGGGCAGCCTCATCCCAGTTGCTCAGGAGTTCGTCCATAGATTCAGGAATAAGACCTCCTTCATCCATTTTAATCGATACAACCTTGACGCCCAGGGGAAGCACAGTCTCCTGCGCGCTGGAGAAGGTGTACTCCTCCATCATGATATAATCTCCACGCTCACAAAGCATTCTGAGCGCCGTATCCCAGGAGTACGTGCTGCCGCAGGTCAGGCAGCATTGCCAGTCGGCATATGGGGGATTGTGGATAAGCTGGATGCTGTTAGCGACAACCAAGTGCAAGTGTCGAGATCCATACTTCAGTGTGTTCCGTAACAAAGCGGAGTAGCTGAGGAGATCCCATAGCTTGTCCATAGTTAAGAGCAACTTGGAGGTCTAGTGCCTGTCAGCGTTTGGACCTAATGGCTGGGGTGTAAAACGATAGCCATACCATACAAGCTCTTACCCGCCTCGGCATCACCCTTGCATGCGCGCAGCACACTGCCGGACTCACGAGTGGCTTCTGGGGAGAAGCCAGGCGGCGTGGGAACTTTGATGTCGATCTCTTCAATGGGGAAGTATTCCGGCGAGGGCAAGCCGCCTCCGAGAGAAATGAGGCCTTTGTACTCAGTCAGCTATTGCCGAACGTGCCAGATCGACAACAGACATACCAGGATTTTTCAGATAGCGCGCAGCACCCTTCAAGGTCGAGACCTAGCAGCGCAAACCTAATTAGCGTCTACGCATTCAGAATATATACTTCCAGCACAAACCTTCCGCGACTTCGACTCAAGGGAGAAAATGTCTACCCATGTTGTTAACAACGTCTTGACCCAACGGCGACCGCGATTGCATGCGCCGTGAAAGGGGAACCGTCGGACTCACGATCGAAGCGTTTGGCCTTGGGCTTGGTATAGCAGGCCTGTAAGAACAGTCACAGTTAGCTCACGCACACACCGCTTTTTCCCGTTGTGTCGCAAAGGAACAGGCAGAGCCTACCGGGCTCTTGAACATATCACTGTTGGTCGCAGGCGCAACACCAGTCGGAATCGGGGCGCTCTTTGCCCGCAGGGCAGGAATGCCCTCGACCGTCAATGGGGCGTGCGAGGGAACGGCGCCGTTGGAGTCATCCATGGCGGCGGGAGGGCTCATTTTGACCGAGGGATCGAGAGTGCGACGCGAAGGGATTGGTAGTAGAATCGACCGGCGATCAGGTCACAGACTAGTTGGACGACAACAATTGTAGTAGAAAAGCGTTGGCAAAGGGCAGGTTGGAGATGGACCGACTGAGGACCCCCAGTGGTACTTATGGGGACTTTTCTTAGTCACACAAAATAAGCCGAGTCATTCTTTTGGAGCGGATCCGGTTCCGCCGGGCGGCCAACGAGATCCATGTCACCCATCATGATGCAAGATAACGCCCATTGCTCCCCTTGGACGCAAGTTCCGGTGCAGGATTGCGATCAGCTTTGTTGCACTGGCCTCCACCGAGTTTCTGTTATCTAATTGAGTCACGGATCGCGGTGGATGCAACTCTCGTCACTGACAGGGCGCGGGGAAGAAGAATGCAAAGAGGGACGGGTAAGTCTGCCGTGAAACATCCGGTATTTGCCGGTACCATCCGTGACATCCAGAGGAGTCCCATTAATGCCACAGAGAAAAGAATGACGGAGATGATGAAAGTTTACAAGCAGAGCCAGAAGAAGTCCGAGTCAGCTGAGTAGACCGGAGACGTCAAGTGCCTGATGTTTCGGGATTCCAGCAGGAAATACAAGGACACGCGACATGCGACCCCGCGCCCGCATAGATAAGGCTATCGCCGGGATCGGATCTCGCTTATCAGCCGGATACCAGAAGAAAGTACGGAGTAGAGGATCCACGACGAACATCCTCACTGACACAAAGGGCGCGTTCTTGCGTTATACATAGTCCCCCCGTAGTAGTTATTGGAGATTGTAGGATGTCTCGGATGTCCTCCGTGCAGACGCCACTCAGATCTATGGCCGAAGGATGTTCGACGCTCCACCAACGAAATGTAGACTGCCAGTCACTAGCACCTGCATGCCACTTGCTTGACCACCAATCTTTCGATGGTTGGTTCGCTGGATACTACAGCCAACGGATCAATCTTGTTCCGCACAGTCGTATAGATCGTCCGATATTCCGGAGATAGAGTCTCTGGGACTTTAAGCGGTTTGTCTATCGCATGTTAGCTCGGCTGCGTAAAGGGGTGACTGGGGATGAACATGCCGATCCTTTTGGAGCCGTCTTCTGTCTCGTCATAGGTGGTAAAGATGACATGATTCAGCCTTGCACTATGGTGTACGAGGGCGCGAGCCAGGTGCTCCACAAGTTCCACCCTGTCACGCTCCTCCGAATAGTGGCTGAATATTAAGACCCGACTTCTGCAATGTCTTTAGTTAGAGATGTATTCATCGAGGAGTGACACCTCACTTACTTCTGTGCAGGTGGCGGGTCGAGGCTTTTCGAGTACCATTCGGCAACCTGTCCCAGACTCAATGTGTTATGCGCCCCATCAAGGAACCATTGGGAGTCGCCATCATCGATGACTTCGAAACGACCGGCCCAAAAAATGTTTTCGACTCCCAAAGCAATGTCTTCAGTGGTCATTTCATGCTCGCCAGCCCTTCGCTGCAAGAATGAACTGGAGATTTTCAAAGCCAACGAGCAATTCAATCGTTATACCGGAATGCTCAGTACTCTGTTGTTCTTCGGCAAAGAACTGTCTGGAGGAACAATCTGGAAAGCGGTTCCTTTCGCTGCAGCACGTTTCTGCATCACCCACAAGACCTGGATCTTGGGGGACCGAGAACGCCGGAACCCCCCGCTTGAATGTGCCCATTTTATGCCACGCGATATCCGTCAAGGTCGGACCAAGTTGGTCGACATGATCCATTCCTAGTGACGTGATGCCGGTGACAACGGGGCTGGGTATCGCCTTCGTAGTGTCATACTCGCCGCCGTGATGCGTTTCAAATATTACTGCCTCCACCTCTTCTCTGATAAAGGTATGGAACGCAAGCAAGTGCCAGTAACCGGAAGTAGCGCGGTTGTCTAGCAGGCGCTGCGCTTACGTTGGATCCTGGAGAGTGTAGATCCTCCCATGCCTCGAAGAAGTACTGTGCGAAGCGATCTTCGGCGATGGGCTGGTTGTTAATCTGGATTCGCTCCCTGATATGCCGCAGGTCAGGCGAAGTGTAGAGCCCAATGCGCTTTGGGAATTCCGTTCCCAGGCCGTGGGCGTGCAAAAAGGAGCGGATGAAAGCGCATGTGCTTCCTTTGCCTTTAGTCCTCGCGCTATGGACGATGTTCAAGAGCCTGAGATCGCTGTCCTAGAAGGGTCCGTTAATTATCTGAATTCATGGAATTACACGCGTTCCTGAAGAGTCCACGACTTACAGAATGCCCTATGACCTAGAGCCATTCCTTCATGCCCACTAGGGTGGCCATTCCTGTTAGCGTGGACGTGCCGGGAACATTGTCCACATCAGGAGGTCCCGGGGTAGCCGCACTTTAGGGCGGGCCTTTCGCCAGCGGGTTTCGAGGAGCTTAAGCGCATTCTATCGGGATTAGAGAGCAGCCAACCGATATTGAGGGCTTATCTTACCTCGTACATTCGTTTCATTGTGACACACATGCGGATGTAAGTTGGTTTGTCTTGGTTGAAGTTGTTATATCAGAGTTTGACGACAAAGTCCAAATCCACATTGCGGGAAGTACACGATCCCGCCATCTTTCGTGAGGATCCACGAGTAATTAAAGGTTGTTCTCCAGACGTTGCAAATAATACAGAGATGACCAGACCACCGCAGATCAAAATAAACGAAATGTTCTTGAATATAGGCTAAGAATATGGATTGAGAGCAACAACTTAACAACATACACTGAACGCACGGACAGAAATATATATCAATCATCAACCCGTACTTGAATGTCTCTGCTCACTCTATAGGCTCCTTTTTGGCCAAGAGCTCTACCTGGTCTTTCAAGAACAGCGTTGTCACAGCAGTCTCCTCCCCACGGCATAGCAAATATTTTGCATTTCCCGCGGTATATTCGAGGCTTCCAATTTGAGGACTCATGGTGATGCGCCAGGCTAATAGGTAACCGGCCACGTTCCACGCCACTTCCTCTGTTATGGTTGAAAAGACAGTGGCCGAGTAGTTCTGGGTTTCTTCACATCGCCTTCTGAAGTTGTCCGTGTAAGTGTCCACCCAGGCGTCGTAGAGTTCACGAACAGAGGAAGGATATGTCGATAGAACCTCATCTGAATCGACATGGCTGTCTTCATCCGATCTGACATCATCCGGATGTCTCCAGATAAAGTCTGTGCCATAATCCGCAAAAATGCGATAGTGCCGAGTGGCTTCCTCTAGCAGAGATGGTATACACTCATCTGTCACCATCTCCACGGATATTTGATTGGGGTTGGCTGAGTCTTCCGGGCGTCTGATTTTGAGGCAGAGGTCAAATGTGGTTTCAATGACGGTTTGCGTTTGATTTGACTCGGTTGCAAGTTTGTCTGCAAGCGTTCGCCCTGCATCGCCCAGATTCTTGACTGTTTTGATATATTGTTGGGATTGGGGCTGGCAACAAAAAACAGCGAAAGGCTTGAGGATGCCGATGACCATGGCTTGCAAGTGTTTGTTCTTTAGATTGTTTAAGGTTAAGGGACCTGACGAGTCAGTCGATGAGGACGCCGGCTCTTAAAGGTACGAACAAGATGAACCGTATTTATTGATGCATGCAAACACAGCCCAGTCTCATTCCTGAAGGTGGGCGCTTGGATAATTTTCCGACCGCCAGAGAGGCTTTCGAGATGACTACGCCACACGCTAATCGAAATACCGCAGTATTCTGCGCCTCTTAGTGATATCCATTGGCTCACGTATGAGGCAAGAGCCCGGCCTTTATACCCCTGCCCGCAGACCACCATCGGAGCAAGATGGGAGGCCTTAGGTGTGTCGTTGTCCATCACCTTCCTGGTGGGTTGGAACTCCAGTACTACTATCTAGGTACTTCGATACTATGAAGCGTTGAATGAATCAATTATAATAGATGATGAAATTAAGTAAATCTATTTCTCAGATACTTGAACTACCCGTCCCTCTATCCCAAAGTCTGCAGCTTCACCAATTCATAATACTGTCCGCGCTTTTGAATCAACTCCTTATGTGTCCCGCACTCTACCATCTCTCCCTGATCGAGGACACAGATCATATCCGCCCGTTGGATAGTACTCAGACGATGGGCGACAGCGATCGTTGTCCGCCCATGCGCCGCAGCATCCAAGGCATCCTGGACGACTTTTTCAGATTCTGAGTCCAATGCCGATGTAGCCTCATCAAGAAGCAGTATTTTGGGATTCCGTATCAGGGCTCGCGCAATAGCGATACGTTGCTTTTGACCACCGGACAGCATGCCACCTTTGCTTCCGACAATAGTATCAAATCCTTGTCTGATGGGTGTTAGCGCTGTGTCGAGACTGGAATTAGGATAAGATAACTCACGGTAGTGACATGATGAAGTCGATGATGTTGGCTGCCTTACAGGCTTCTAGGAGCGCTTCTTCAGAGGCATCGGGGTCCGCGTGGGTGCACCCGAGGAGGATATTCTCCCGAATCGTTCCCTGGAAGAGAGACGGTTCTTGCCCGACGAGGGCTAGATGCCTTCGATAGTCTTCCGTGTCGAGGGAAGCAATGTTTCGACCGTCAACACATATCTCGCCAGCTACAGCGTTGTAGAATCGCTGTAAAAGGGCAACAATTGTGCTCTTGCCGCTCCCACTGGCGCCTACTATAGCAACGTACTGCCCTGGTTTGATGGTGAGGTCGAAATGCCGCAATACACGCTGTTGGATGCGCGTGGGATATGCAAATGACACGTCGCGAAACTCGACACACCCTTCTATAGAAGGTACTGGCAAACCATCCCTCTTGTGGCTCATAATCGGGGCCGGTCCGAAGAGATCTTGAAAAGAAGCGGCGGCATGTTTCGAAGTGCTCATCGAAGGAGCTTTAGAGAAAATGCTCCCAGCCGCCTGAACGCCAAAGATGATCTCGGTGAAGCAAATATAGAGTTGAAAGAGCGAGTATTCCCCACGGCCGAGCAAGTTTCCACCATACCAGAACCCCAACGCCATGCAGAGGTAAGGCAAAGCCTGGGAACTTGCGTATAGCATGGACGACTTTACCAGGAATATCAGATCCCCACGAAGCTGCTGCTGCAACTGGGTCTGGTAGCGCTCCAGGAGCACGCCTTCCATTGTCATAGACACAACAGTGCGAATCGCAGCGGCGGCTTCACATGCAGAGCTAGCGGAGGTTTGATAGGCCCTTTTCGATCGGCGCTGAAGCTCACCGAGTACCCAGAAACGGAGGAACCCTGCAAGCAGAAGTACCGGGACCGTTGAAACACAGACTAGTCCTAGCTTCCACCCCATAGCGATGGCTACGACTATCGAGGCCACCAGGTTAACAGAGACCATCAGCAAAGTGCCAAGAGTGTTTCCAGATACCTCTGCCATCTGTTTGGCTTCGGTGGATAGCATGGCTACTAATGATCCTGTAGTATGCTCTTCCTGGTCAAAGAACGAGGTCTCCTTATGCAGCAGGACTCGGAATGCTTGGCTCCGTGCCCGATACAGTAGTTTCTCGGAGCAGTAGGCAAGCGCAATACCCTGAAGATAAAATAGAAGCAATGTGGTAAAGCCTAGCATCAGAAACATCAGACACCAAAAGTTGGCATCTTGGCGAAGTTTGTGATATTGACTCGGCGGCAAACTCAAGGTGGTGATCGCTTTCGCGTAGATCGCGTTCTGTGTTGGCTGCACTCCACCAGCAAGAGCGCAGATAACAAAGGCAACGGCCATTAACTTCCATTCAGGACGATTGAACGAGAATATGAATTTCATGAGTGTGCCGAGCGATGCCTGTTTCTTCTCCTCGGCCGGGCGCAGAGGAAGTAGCATGGACATCCTGGATTTACGCCGCTTCATCCTTCCGGTTTTAAGGCCGATCTCTGAGCCGGAATCGCTGTACTCATCCTGGTCGTGGAGATCATCATCCGGGGAATCATGGTCAACCACTGATGCTCTTTGGCCCATAAGAGTAGACAACCTCGCCTGGACTTGTTGCGACTTGACCATGTTGTGATAAACTCCTCCGAGGCCCATGAGATCTCTATGTGACCCTTGCTCGACTATTCGGCCATCGGCAAAGACGACTATATTATCGGCCTCTTTGATGGTAGATAGTCGGTGTGCAATAACGATGGTCGTTCTGCCCCTTGACGCTTGATCCAGAGCAGCTTGTACAATCCGTTCGGACTTTGCATCGAGCGCCGAGGTTGCCTCATCAAGAAGAAGGATCTTCGGGTTTTTGACAATTGCTCGTGCTATTGCGATACGTTGCCTCTGTCCACCAGAGAGGGAGAATCCGCCGACATTCGTGTCGTAGCCATTCGGGAGGGCCATGATAAAATCATGGGCATTTGCCATTCGGGCAGCTTCTTCCACTCTTTTGGCGATTTGAGCCTCCGCCTCATTTTCGTATTCAGATCCAACCAACCCAAATTTGATGTTCTCGAATATTGTGGCTGCAAATAATTTAGGCTCTTGTGACACCAGCGCGATTTGTTGTCGCAGCCAGCGCAAGTTCAAATGCTCAATATTGTGACCATCCAGTGATATCGTCCCACCGACAGGCTCATAGAACCTTTCGATTAGTCCGATCAGCGTGCTCTTTCCTGATCCCGATGGACCCACGAACGCGGTCGTCTTGCCAGCAGGTATGTAGATGCTCAAGTCATGCAAGACAGTAACTTCCGGCCGAGAAGGATAGATGTGGCGGATATGTTGGAAGTTAAGGCTCCCCCGTACAGCAGTCAGCTTCTTTCCCTCGTCAGACAATGCATCCAGAGGTGACTGGCGGTCAATCATCGCGTACAGCTTCGAGGCTGCTGCAACAGCGGCCGACACACTTTGAACGTTCGGGGCAACATTCCCCAGACTGTATGAGCCAAGTGCAATCGCCATGATGATTGTCACTATGTCTCCTGTCTTTATATGGCTCTCCCCATCCACCAGGAACCGAGATCCCATCCAGAATCCCAGACCGGAGTTGAACTGGTTAACGGCTACAAGACCACCGATCATCAAAGCGATCATGACTTGTGATTTGATTCCAGGATTCTGCGCCCCCTTGAGATGCGATTCATATTTCTTCGCCAGGGTATTCTGCGCACCAAAGGCGATGACGGTCCTGATCGAATCCAAAATATCTTCGGCCAAACTGCTTGCTGTACCTTGGACTCCAAGGGCTTTCTTGTTGAATACCATCGACGAGATCGCTCCTCCGCCCATTGTAAGCACCATAGCCACCAGTGTTGCAGTACACACTAATGCGAGCTTCCAGTATTTCACGTATGCAATCACGAAGGCGGCTATAAAGGATGCGAAAGCACTGACCAGACCCGCGGCCTTTTCAGAGATCCCATCTTGCACCTGGTTCGTGTCGGTGATGATACGGTTCGTTATTTCCCCTGCCCCGAGTGTATCGAAGAATGCAATGTTTTGTCGAAGGATGGCCTGGAGGTACTGGACTCTGATTTTCTGGACGACATGGTCGCCTGTATAGGTGAAGCCTATTGTTGACAGGCTGAGAGTAACGAACACGACGATTGCCAGATAGATGAAGTAGACGACATTCGTGGCTAACTGATCGTTGAATTGATCGATAGTTGACGTCCCCGTGGATACATCTCTGAGCGTAGACGCAAGTTGTCCGATGATGAGCTTCTAATGTCAGCCATGATGACTATATCCATCTATGAGGATACTCACGGTAAAGAACGGCAAAGCAGCACCACCAACGATAGCAGCTAGCGCACTCCCAATAGCAATACCCACATCCCAGCGACTAGCAAATCGGTACAGACCGGAGAGGCCGACTTTCGATACATGCGGCTGAAGTTGTCGGTCTATGATCTGTCTCTCTGCTTCTGAAAGCGATGCTTCTGTCTGCGTGGTTACAGGAGTCTATCGAACGTGACTATCAGTCGGTGTCCTCACATTGTGATGGAGGAGTATCCAGTTCCTTACCTTCTGGATTGCCTCCAGACCGATGTCCTCTTTAGTCGGCATGGTGTATCATTGTTGTTCACTTGATACCCAGAAAGAGATCATTTGCGCATGTCTGACAGGAGTAGTGGAAGAAGAAAAGTTCGCGACAGGCCATGTTCCTGAGATAGCTAACCCTTGGAGATGCCTTAGGCGCTGGGGATATCCCTTGCGTACATGCGAGTAAACACCACCCCCTTGGGCGGATGCGGATCACTGTCGACAATAACAACGAAGTAAATCGATATGTACCTGTAGCCAATTGAATTATTATCCATTCAATGGTAGAATAATAATAGAAACGTGTGGCCGTCAATCAGCCTTAGAGCCTCAAGGGGCCAGTTAGCCGTTCACGTTAGGCCCGTTGACCTCGGAATCACCTCGTAGCTTATACCACTGTCCAAGTCCATTATTATTTTAAAGGTGAATCAAAATTATTTAAGGATTATTCAAGCATTTCTGGGCGCGAGATATCTCGGAATGCACTTAAATGCAGGAACCTGGGTGATGTAGCTTCGAGAAGTCAATTCCACAATATCCCTATGGATGACATGCAAGGTACTCCGTACATTGAACGAAGCAGCCCATACGCAAGGGTCGTAGATTAGGTTGTTATGTCTGGTTTCCACGCCTGGTTTGTGCTGTCAGCCTGATATGCACAGTCTGGAGTGCCATCGGACTTAGAGTCAACTCCTTTCGGTTCTAAAAATACGCCCTGGACCGAGAATTTCGAGTAACCGGAAGAAGTTTGGCGCCAGGGGGAGTGAACGAGAGCTGAATATCTCTACTCCGTAAATAATAAGTAGTACGGGGCAATCAAACTGTGGTTGTTCCAGGGAAACGCAGAATCTGGTGGACATGAGAAGCGATGAATCCTCGCACCATGATTGGGTGGTTCGCATTATGACGTAGGGTCAGCAGGCCGCTATGCCCGATTGGGAGTGTATACATCGCGGTGGAATCTCTCTTAGCTCCAAGCGGTTAAGATTCTTTTAAGGGCAGCATTACACACCGACGGTCCTGGTGCTGATTGGGCTGATGGCGCTGAGATCTAAAATTGGTGCTTAAGCGTGGCATAAGTGTGTTGTGTCGCGGACTAGCCCGGCCCTGGATACAGCTGGAGGAAAGGGCTCTGACAGGCCAGCAAGTCGCGGTCGACCATTTTGAACTAGAACAATTTGAAACGACTGGGGGCTAATATGGTCTGGATTGTAGTGGATCGGAGACCAGAGAACTCACTGCTCCAGAACATATATAAGCGCTGGTGGACGTCGGTTCCATCTCTCCAGGCAAAAGTTTGAAAACCCGAGTCACCGAGTCAACCCATCACACAAACGCACAAGACCAAATTCGATCCTTCTGTTATCCTTATCATAGATTTCGTCAATAGTGTCAGGTGTGTACATTGACCCAAGCCCCTTGCAACCCGCCTAACAACCCTCATAGTTCCAGCCTGCATCACATCGGTCTATCCGCAACATGGCCTCCGGCGAATGGAATATCTCTCGCAGCGCGATCATCGTCCTCATCATCCTCGGTTGCTTCTGCGCTGTTCTCATCGGGTACTCAATGCATCGCGTCATCGGCGGAAAGGCCTTCAAGGCGCCCGAAGAAGCTCTCGAGGGCCCAGGGGACGAACAAGTGGCATACATGCGGCAAATTCGGCAGCGGAACCTAGCCATGATGTACCATGAATCTCGCCAAAGGGACTCGCCAGTCTGATGCGTGGCTCCAAGTGTGGTGTATGGTGTTGGAGGGGTTCATCTTCTTTGTTTCCGATTGGGCATTCTGTTATTCGGCGTTTTCATGGACCTGGATATATATACCGATAATATTTTGACACCACGGTCTGGTTTATCAGTCAAACCCAGCACGGCTGTCCTCATACGGTCCAAGCCCGTACTTTCCACCCCATTGGGTAAGAAGCAGTGGCGATATTGTTAATAACTCCAGATGGTGAAACGAAGCGTAGGTCGGCTAGCCCATCACAACGTTACAAGATCCAGCATGGCAGTCAAAGCGGGCACAGGAATGTCCATGTGCTTTCCTGGTTGGCCAATGGTCAAACACACATTTTTGTCGGCAATCTTAATAGTCGGGTGAATGTATGTCAGGCGAGCTGAGTCAGGAATCTCGTCGCTGTGATTGATTTCGGTGGTTTCACTTTGCCAGGACGGCCTCGTCCCGGGCAAGAGCATCAGAAGAGATCTCTCATCTTGATGGTTCAAAGCCATCCCTGCAGCCATCCTCTCCTCAATGGCGATTGCCTGTTCTGCAACTAAGGCACAGGCATGGCTATTGAATACGCCCTCTTGTCGCGACATTGAGCGAAGCACAGCAAGTGCCTTGCGACGGATGACGGGATCTCTGCATAGAGTGGCAACATTGTAAACTGGAGAGATTATGCCCATATCAAGGGAGAAAGAGGGCTTCAAGCGACCGTTCCGGGAGAGCTCTGCCAATTGAGATGGTGATAGCGACAAACACTCGATACCTTGCGCGCTGTCAACCACCGAAGCGGCCAGTGTGACAATTTCTTCAAATATAAAGTTGTAATTATCCCATGACCTCTGGTCCGAGATTCCAAGTTTGCCGTACTCCAGAATTATGTATTGCATTTTTTGGTAGATCCGGATGATGTTTAATCCAGTCTTGTCTCTGGCCGTGAGAAGTGGACCGCGAGTGTGCTCAAAATTATTCAACGCCACGGTCAGCTTTTCTAAAAGTGGCGAATAGTGATGAATGAGATCCATAAATTTGTCGGGGTCTGCGCCATCCAACGCGCGGAACTGACGACCAGCCTTGCTTCTGTAATATTCGAATATATCGCGTGCTTCGCCGATGGAGCGGAAGACCTCGGGGATTTCAATGTCGATTTCCCTTATTGGCACGGACTGGGATAGTTGCATATCGACTTCTTCGCGTGTCTATACCAGTTAGTCGTGTCTTGACGCTGACCTGATGACAAATGGGCTTACGAGAGTCAGGGCTTGATCTTGCAGACGAACAAGCATCTTCCGCAAACTATCCATTTCCAGTGCGGTCACTGTAGATGATCTGAGGAACGGATGGCAAAATGTGCCTGATCGAGGGTCGCAGTACACCTCATTCATGATTTTGATACCGCTCCTGATATGTTTTATAGCGGAATCATAGTGGCTCGATAGAATCTGTACCCCGTCAGCGCAGCCGAATGCGAGGCGAAGTCTGAGGGACTTACCTCAAAGCAAGCGAACAACATGCATGATATCAAGCAGACATCTACTGTCAGCCTCGGAGAGCCTATGTTATCAGCGGAGCGCGAGCCAGTCGGTCCAAGGAGAGCCCTAATTGCAGTCACATATTCCTGAAGAGCAAAATTATCTTGTCCGTATCGAGAGAGCCAAAGACCCGGGACTTGTTGGTCATTTTCGAAGTTTTCGTGCAATGACCCCAACGCAATCAAGGAATGCCAGATCGACTTCTCATGCTGACTGACTTGCAGCACAAATCGGCTCCAAAACTCAGAGCCACAATAACCTGCCAATGACGGCACTGTCCTCTCATAGAAGAACTGGAAACAGCGATTTTCGCGTTCACTTCCCGAGAGCTTCAAAACAGGTGGTAGAGATAAGGGGAGTCGAACGCGATGGTCGTAGAATGGCGGAGACCCATAGCCATCACACTTACGACCTGTTGAAGTGCATTTCCGACAATGGGGCTTGGCCTCGTCACATTTAATTCGCCTTTCTAAACGGCCACAGATTTAGTAGGAACGATATAATTGGGCGACATATCGGCGACTCTTACTTCTGGTGGATTTGTTAGCCAGGTCACTCATGGGGAGAACATCCTTCTCGAATCGCCAGATGCAGCACTTACTTGCATGTCAGACAGCCTGATTTTGTTTTGGTTCCTGGCGTGGAGATCGGCCGCGGCATGTTAGTGGAACGAGGGGTTTAACAGCTGATAGCTGTCGTTGCATGTAAGCTTTTTGTCAAGGCACTTTCTATTGATACAACCGACAAGAGAGGGCGTGAGTGTCGCGACACCCTCTCCGGTACGCTTGGGTCGAAGTCACCGGAGGAAAGAGAACAGGCGTTGCCCGAAAGGGAAATATGCGCCTTAGACTGACGGATGACTAAGTTTTAGAGCCTAAAAATAACCTATTGTAGGCTAGCCTGATAGGAACTAGAAGATGTTTGCTTTCCTGGTCTGAATCGTCTCTTAAATGTCGATTTTGCAAACGTATCAACTTTACTATTCTAATTGTAGATTGTTGTATAAACCTCTGTCTAACCAATGCTCGAGGGCTGCCTACTGTTTCACGAGCTTTCCGGCAGTCCCATCAAGCTGTACCTCCAACACGGCACTGGTACCATTCGCAACGGTCTTGATCGCCTCCGGCAGTAACTTGCGCAGCTCGCCGACGGTGGCCGCCGTACCAGCCCAGATCTTATTGCCAGAGGCCGCCCTGGCAATGCCAGGGTAATCGGGAGTAGGAGCAAAAGAAATGTTAAGGTCTTCATTGGTGGCGCGCGATCCATCGCCACTGGGGTGGACGAGGAGCATGCTCCTCCGGGGTGCGTTCCAGCCCTTGTTGTTGAGGACAATGGTGAGAATTGGGATGTTGTACCGACGCGAGATCCAGTAGACGGATCCAGGTACAGAGAAGAGATATGTGCCATCGCCGACAACTTGGCACACAAACTTGCCCTTGTTCGTCCCGCCATGAGCGACATCGGTCGCGAGCTTGATACCCAATGCACCACCACCGGACCATCCAAGGCCGCCACCACCGCAGTTGATCCAGGATTTTGGCAGTGATGCAGCGATCTGGTCTGACACGAAGCCTGTAAGCGTGACGGCTTCGATTGCCCAAATGGTATCCGCAGGACATCCCTTCCGCACTTGGGACATGAGGTACGAAATGTTCAGGTAGGCGTCTTCGCCTCCAGATGGGACAGTAGCCATTTCCGCAAGGGTCTGGCGCGCCTTCTTAAACTCCTCCTCGCGGAGCTTGCCGCGAGCAGTGTTCTCTTCGGAGTCAACAATCTGCTTGATAGAGGCGTTGGCGGCGATGTATTCGTTTATCTGTTTGAAGGCCGTCGCGGATTCTGCGCGGAAGGTGGCCATAGCACCGATGTAAGCTACCGGAATCTGTTGTTTGAGGGGGTCGACATCTACATGGATGATTTTCGCAGCATCGGAAGGCTTGCACAGCGTGGGGATCCAGGGCACATCGCAGTCAGCGACCAGGATGAAGTCCGCCGTCTTAATGGCATCGTGTACACCGAACTTCAGTCCTAGGGACGCCGGGTGGTCGCCTGGGAAGCACATGTCGCATCCACCAGTGTCCAGCACACGGATACCCTTGAATGTATCGGCGAGGGTGACCAATTCCGTCACGCCTCGCTCCTCCCGACCCGAGTATCCCACAATAACCAGTGGCTCTTTGGCCGCAGCGAGCTCGGATACGATAAGCTCAACGCCATCAGCCGGGAGCGCAGATGGACGGACGGCTCCCCAAACGTTCTGGTTCACTCTGTACGGCTCGATCTCTTCCTCCATAACTTCGCGCGCACCGACCAGGTAGACGGGGCCCTTGGGGTCGCTCGTCGCGAACTGCAAGGCACGGTTGACCATCTGCTTAACATTCTTGCCAGACTTGATTTCCGCAGAGTATCGGCAGTACTGGGAGACGATCTGTTTCTGATCGGGCACATCTTGAATCCAATGGATGTACTCGGTGCGGGAACCGCGCATCTCTCCTTCGATGGTGTACGGGGAGAGACCGGCGAAGATCAAGACCGGAGCACGACCGCAGGAGGCGTTGTGAACAGCGGCACCGAGGCCCTGAGTGCCAACGTCGACATGGACAATGACACATTGAGGCTTTCCTGTCAAACGAGCGTAGCCATCGGCCATGGAGAGGGCGACCATCTGTCGGGAGGGACAAATGCGGGGTCAGTTGAGTGCAGATTCCGGGTCGCCGATGGTACCCGGGAACAACCAGCCAGGGAGCCGTACCTCGTTCGGACACGTAATAATCCGCGGGAACTGGTCAGGCTTCTCTTTCTGGCCCTTGACCATGGCCTCCAGGATGGAGGGGTGGTCGGAGCCTAGGTTGACAAAGACATGGGAGACTCCGGCCTAGGAAAAGGGTTAGACCCCAGGTTGCGGGAGTATTCTTAGGGCGTATGGATAGATACCTCCCAAAGAGCCTCAAAAAAGGCAAAGGACGCAGTGTAGACCCTGGTGGTGACAATTATACTAGTTAGCACTAGGTACCAAGTATACTCGAGGAATATGAGAAGGACAGGGATCGAGGGATATGCACTTACATGGTGGATGATGTTTGACAGGGATCCAAAAAAGAGACGGTTGAAAGAGAAAGTAGACAGAGAGGTACGGAGTATGGAGAAGGGATGCGGTTATATAAGAACTTAAGACTCTGGTCAAAGCTGCGGAGAGATCAAGATCGGACTCAACTCCGATGGCGGTGGGGTAGTTAGGTAGAGTGGTAGGGTCACCCCGCGTTCTGCAGGGAGGGATTATGAACCAGCCCTTATCCGCGCCAGTTCCGCTGCGGGGTTGACTGCCAAAGAGGGGAATCCAAAGCGATCTCGCCCAGGGAACTTTTGTAGAGGCTGAATCTACGGGGGATAGTACGAATTTGTAGATCAAGGTAGACAGAGAATAGAAGAGAAGAAATCTTTCTGAAATTTGTTTATAATATTCTGGGAAATAATCTAGTTTCTATTAGCTTAAATATTAGTTATCAAGCCGAACAAGCCAGGACATTGACTGTTGACAGTGTTTTATTCACAATTACAATATTCAGTGTTACTATATTTTGACCTATTTTTAATTAGAAACTAGATTCATATATTGATTTTAATGAATAGAGGTGCTGTGGGAGCTAAACTCTACCTTTGTGGATAGGTAGGTAGCTGGTGCATTGTAAATGTATGAAGTCTTCACCTTCTGTACAATAGAATCATTTTTGACTAGAAAGAATTGGTTGACTTAGGGCTTGAAACTGTCAGGACTATTTTATATTGATATTATGTAGTAGAAATAGCTCATTAACCTCTACTTTGCTAAAAGGTATAGTAGTAGTAGTAGGTAAGCACTTCCGAACTATACCACTATAGTCTTCCAGCAGCAGCCATGTTAATATCACTCCGTCTTTACATGTCGAGCATATCAGGTCATTAAAGGCAAGCATATTTGTCTACCATATTCGAGATTAGTAGGCGGCCGCAATTCACTTTTTTTTTTTTTTTTTTTTTTTTTTTTTTTTTTTCTGGGCTAGTATGCACTCGATACGGGTACCACTGTTCCGGTAGGTGTTCAATATCCTCTAATGTGAAATCCTCGAACGTTAATTTATTTCGATATATTTTATTCGGTCTACGTAACCATGTAATGCGCAATAATAGCATTGTGAATTAAGTAGATTGCTATGTATTGGTGGTGTGGTTGGACACATGGCTAATGACGTCGATGGCCAGATGCAGTTTTCAAGACTTGCACCATGGTCCACATAACAAATACCTAGGCAACACCATTAGAGACAATAAACGACTGCAAGAGACTATTTCTAAGTGATTCTTTTGTTATCATAATCAAATAGAAAATAATAGATCCCGCCCCGTCGAGAACCACAGCATCCGCCATCACCCGTCTAGCGAACACCGGGATACGTCATCACTGAGAGCATGGTGCCATGGCCGCAACGCATGCACTCTCTGCAAAATATGCCACCATTTTCCCATTCGAGACAATTTTGAAAGCATCCGGTGCTGTCCTTTCGTTCTTTTTCACATCAATTGCTATCTGGATGGTCCGCCAGCCTACAAGCCGCAACTTCGCCCGTTGCAGCATGCTCCCTGATCGAGTATATAGACTCTGTTCCGGGAACAAGACAGTAAGCTCGGAACTGGCCAAGGATCCTACACAGGCACCGTCGGACATATTTCATCGATTATATAGCCATCCGGAGCAAACTGGAACGAAACCGGTGGAAGCGGATAGTCTTCAAAAGGCTGCCAAGTGTGGCAATTGGGGAGATAACAAGCCCAGCGACTTATTCCTCAAGGTGCGAAAGACCCGTACCCCGGACTATTAGGAATTGTGTTGACCGTTATTGCAAGATCTATCATGATGCGCTTTGCACGCTACAGAACAATCCCCTGTCTGGGGTAGTCTCACCCCCGTTGATGGGCAGTCATGGCACTATCCCATTAACTATCGTTGCGCCTTTACCAGATCTGTGCCGGCACATGGCAAACTGCATCGCCCGTGCTGAGAAGGAAGTCTTCCTGGCCACCAATTTCTGGATCCACTCTGACGCCTCGACCCTGATCACCAATGCATTGCGCGAATTGTCTCGTCGCGCAGGTGCACGCGGCGAGCGGGTAGTGGTGAAAGTAATCTACGACCGTGGCAATCCACGGCAAGTATATGACAACCACCTTAGCGTGCCCGAAAAGAAATACACCACAGGCAAGGTCCGCCTACCCTCGGCCAAGGAGATACCCAACATCGACATGCAGGTGATCAATTACCATCGGCCGGTTCTGGGGACTTTCCATGCAAAGTTCATGATTGTTGATCGTCGGGTGGCATTGGTTCAGAGTAGCAACATTCAGGACAACGATAACTTGGAGATGATGGTGCGGCTTGAGGGGCCCATCGTGGACTCGATCTATGACACCGCGGTGATCTCGTGGGGACGCTCGTTTGATACGCCTCTCCCAATGCTTCCTTCCCCAGCAGCTGGTGAAAAGGGCTACGAGGCAGTGCCTGAGTATATTAATGACGAGGAGGACGGTCTATCGACACTGTTAAAACAGCACACAACGAAACATCCGCACTACGATCCAGACCTGCTGTCGGAAGTGCGAAGAGTCAACAGCGCACTTGAGCCTTCCGCAGGGGAATCCAAAACTCAGGCAGCCACCAAACATCTAAGTACGTCTCTCGACATGGCCCCCAGTTCGAGATAACTAACTATTTAGACACGACTATACAACACGACACAACCGGCGATGCTCCAGACTCTGACCAAGAGCCCCAAATGAAACCTTACAATCTCACTCCGCCGCATAAATCAATACCTATAGCTCTAGTGAACCGAGAGCCCTGGGGAGGTGAGTAGATGTAATGACTAGAATCTTTCGTCCACAAGGCTAACAAGAGCCAGCTCCCAACCACACCAGCATCTACACTCCGCAAAACGCGGCTTGGCTCTCAGCCATCCAAAATGCCCAACACTCTATCTTCATCCAGACCCCAAACATGAACGCCCGAGCCTATAATCCAGGCTCTATTGGAAGCCGCTCGCCGTGGTATCATTGTCACCTGTTACGTCTGCCTAGGATACAACGATGCCGGCCAGCTTCTGCCGTTTCAGAACGGGACGAACGAGATGACTGCAAATAGAATGTATCGTTCTCTCGACACCGACGAGGAACGGTCTCGTCTGCGTATCTTCAATTACGTGGGAAAGGACCAGACCCGGCCGATACATAACCGATATAAACGTCGGAGCTGCCACATCAAGCTTATGATTATCGATGAGATGGTCGCTATCCAAGGTATGTAATGCCCATACTGGGTTCAAACAGGATTTCTGACGAAATTTTGAAGGAAATGGAAATCTAGACACCCAGTCCTTCTACCACAGCCAAGAAGTCAACATCCTGGTGGACTCTGCGCTTGTCTGTGGGATGTGGTTGGAGATCCTAAACCGGAACCAGAACACGGCGACTTATGGTGCGGTGAGTTCCAAAGATGGATGCTGGCATGACCCTGTCACCGGGGAGTTGGCCACTGGCTCAATCGGTGTGAACCCCGGGCGCTTCAGCTGGGCAAAAGGCATGTTTGGTGCAGTGCAGAGGGTTCGGGGAGCAGGAGGGTTTTGAGCTTCCATGTGTCTGACTATCTCGGTGTATTTTGAATAGTTGGTGATATTTACGTTCATCATTTATCTGTATATTAACAATGACGTCCACTTATGTTCTAATACACAACAACATCATGTCACGCACCTACGACAGACATATGCAGGACATAGTAAATTATATCTTCCATTACAAAATCGACGACCAAAAAGCCTATAGAAGCGCACGGAGTGCATTGTTAGACGCCATAGGCTGCGCCATCGAGACAGCATCAAAAAGCAATGAGTGTGAGAGCCTTCTGGGCCCAGTAATACGGGGAACGACCGTCCCAAACGGCTTCAAAGTCCCAGGGACAAACCATCAATTGGACCCCGTCAAGGGAGCTTTCGACCTGGGAGTGTTGATCCGGTACCTGGACCACAATGATGCACTGGGCGGCGCAGAATGGGGACATCCATCTGGTAGATCCCACTTCCTTGTCGCGCCCCTCGCAAATTGTCTAACCACCATCACAGACAACCTGGCTGCCATTCTAGCTGTCGCGGACTGGCTGAGTCGCGAATCCATTGCGGGAGACTACACTCACATTGGCCCGCCGCTGACAATGCGGACCCTGCTGACGGCGCTGATCAAGGCATACGAGATACAGGGATGCTATCAGATGAGGAATGCCTTCAACAAGTTCGGCATCGACCACGTAATCCTCGTCAAGTTGGCATCTGCGGCGGTGGTCTCCTGGTTGCTTGGATTGACTGAAGAGCAAACCATGGCTACAATCTCCCACGTCTGGATGGACGGTCATCCGAGTCGAGTCTATCGTTCCGGGACAAATACGATCCCGCGAAAGGGGTGGGCAGGTGGTGACGCTTCCATGCGCGCAGTGCACCTGGCACTGCTCGTCCGTGCGGGACAGCCCGGAGCGCCTAGGGCCCTCAGTGCATCCCCTTGGGGATTTCTTCAGCGAACGTTCGGCGATAAGGGGTTTGAGTTACCCAGACCATTTGGGACATGGACAATCCAACATGTGCTGTTCAAGGTCATGCCAGTAGAGGGCCACGGTATTTCAGCAGTTGAGGCGGCTCTGGTACAGCGGCAGCAACTTCAGCATGCTGGTATGGGGCCTCAAAACATTCAGAGAATGCATATCCGCACCACTGAGGCTGCAGCGCTTATCATCAACAAGCAGGGACCTTTATATAATGCAGCGGACCGTGACCATTGTATCCAATACTTGGTTGCGTTAGCTCTCCTCAAAGGTCAGCCGCCAGAAGTAGAGGATTATCAGGATGGAAGTCGCTGGGCAAAAAGCGAGGAGTTGACAGCTTTGCGCAATAAGATAATTGTCCGAGCGGACGACAAGTTAACTAGCGATTATCATGATCTGGATAAGAAAAGTATCGGCTCTGCATTGACAATTGAGTTGAGGAACGGGGCGTCCCTATCGGAGGTGACGGTGGAGTATCCTGTCGGTCATGTACAAAATCCTCGAACTGCTCATGCTGTCCACGAGAAGTTCTGGAAGAACATGCGATTGATGTTCTCTGAGGGACAAATCCGAGAGATCGTCAGGGCAACAGAGGATGGTGATATGAAAATCAATTATTTCGTCGATTTGATTTCGCCTCAGCAGTCTAGCAGGTGTCGGTTTTAGGCTTGGTAGTATAGGTAGCTTCGAGATGACCCAAAATGAACGAAATTTGAAAGATCTATTGTTGCGAAAGCATCATACATCTGAGCGCATTTATAAAATTTCCACGTAGAGTGGCATGAATGCGTGTTTATCCCCATCGCAATTGTCTGACACGCAGATCACCCGACTTTGCCGACCCCCTGGAGGGTCAGATATACGTCGGTTCCCCAACCCCAAAGGCTTTGCACGGCAATCCTACCGCCAAAATACTCGGCATACGCCCTGCTGAGAGGTAAACCGTAACCAAGACCGGCGATACTGCTCAAGTGTCCGCCACTCGACGAAAGGGCATTCAACGCATCAGTGTTTCCGTTCTCTGGGCTTTGCATGTCCAACTCGGAGAAGGTGGTGAAACTATACGACCAGATATTTGGAAGGACATCCGGGGGGATCCCGCCACCCCTGTCCCGGATTCTAATAGTGATACTCTGTGCAGAAGGAGACGAGTATTTAATCGATTCGTTGGCGTCCGCCGTACCAACCACCGTGTCCATCTGGAAGCCAACGTCGGAATCTTGTTGTTCTGGAAGTCCGATTAGGGATGAGGATTCATAAACTTGGCACTTCGGTACATCTGGGGCCGCCGCAATTGTCACCTCAATTGGCTCCCGTTCATTGCCGGACTCGATCACAGCTCTGAAGGCGTTCTTCAACAACTCCGTGAGGATGTATTCCACATGGACGGGGACATGAGCAAACGAGGCATCCGGTTGTCCGTCAATCTTCAAGCGTGGGCGGACCCCATACTTTAGCTCACAAATCTCGCCAACGAAGTCTTCGCACCGTTTCACGATGCGCGCCGGTTGTAAAGTCGTGTCGATTACTCCAATATAGTTCGAGGGGGTACTCGACTGCGATGTGCCCTCGTCCCCATTTCCGGCAGGCTGAGAGGCAAAATGAAGGGCAAGGTGTTGTTCCGCAATCAAGCGTGTCCCAATTCTGGCCCGCAGGTGGGTATCTAGGAACCTCGTGACCTCCGTAGGTTCGATGTATTTGCGACACTCTAAGAACCCGCGGGCAAGCACGGGAATAGTATTGGTGTGGGTATGGACAAGATCTGCCAGCACCTCCGCAAACTGATTCTCTTCTTCTAGCGTCGTCACCTGTCGCTTTTGCCAGGGAAGGAGGGTCGACAGGGAGTGTAGGTAGTTGTTGTAGATTTTCGACACATGAGGATTCGAGACAACGATGAAGGGAAGATTTCGTAGAGCTTCAATACGAGAAGCTAATCGGGCAGGGAGGAGAGAAAGTGTAAAGTTTGCCGACGCTAGAAGGGCGTCTTCCGACAGTGGCGGACGCCCATGCCTGAGATTATGATTAGTACATGGAGACTGGGGCCAACGCTCCTGACGATAACTCACTTCAGGAGATCAGCGAGCGTAAGTGGTCGCCGGCGACTGGCTGCGAGACGGGAAACTTCGTCATTGGCGCCATAAGCAAAGGAATGCCGAACGGGCGTTTCAGCATTGGGCAACGGCGAGGATAAGAATCGACGTGATTGATGAGTAACGGTTTGGTTAGGCAGATGTTTATACCAGAAGGATCTCCTCGCTAACGAAGCGAGAGACCTTGATATAGCCATCGTAAGCACTAGCCATTCTGCGACGCGTCTGGCATCGAAGAACGAGGCTTTTGACGGTGAGATTCTGGTGTTATCGAGATGTCCGTATCCAAGGGGAATCCCCATCACGTGGGCGCTAATCCAAAACCAGTAGGCACATCACTATCTCCAACAATGAGGTCATAGGAGGGGAGCAGGAAAGAGAAGGATTGCCTAGAAATAGGTAGTATCCTCATCTAATAAACAGTATATTGGTCTCAGTTAAAGTCCGGGCCTGGGTCATCTAAATATGGTTCCGTAAGTATGAGCGGAAATATATCTGACGCTTGATACGGGGCTGCCTGATAGGTAAGCCACGCGTTGTGACCGAGGTAACCATGCAAGAAATAGGCAACGCAACAGATTTAGTTCAACATCAAAGTACAACCTTTGCTCGTGTCCGTAGCCTGCCGCCTATGTTGCAAATTCCGCAATGTACAATAATATCATAGATCAAATAAATCATTATGGGTCCTGTTGCATTCCCCCCCGCCGTTGAACAGTGAGAAAAATGGCAAGAATGTCCTGAGAGCGCCGGTGTCCTGTTGTACAGAATCACTGAATCTTCACCTCTTGATCCTGCTCGACATGGATATGCTCGCTGGCCTGGAGGGTGTCCACATGGTCCTCTGGGTATTCAACACTATAAGGAGGTCAGCCAGGATGTTGCGGGATTCTCGACTGGCATGCGAAGGAATAATATAAGGGCAAATGTTATCCTTACGTGAAGCCTTTGATAAGAGTGTATTCGTGTTTGATGTTTCCGCCCTTGTCCTTAGCCGTCTGCTTGGCCCTATTTTGGAGTCGAGTTAGACACGGTTGCGGAGAGAGAGGATACCCTGCTTACTTTTCCAACTCCTCGGGGGGTGAGTCCTTCTTCAGGGTAACCTGTTGGACAAGTGGTGATGTTAGAAAACATTCTCTAGCCAGACGCTTAGGTAGGGATCACTAACGTTGTAGAGAGGCATCTTGTATGCTGTTGACTGTGTGAGGGGACGGAGATGGCGGAAGAAGCGGGGCGATAAGATGTTCGGACGAGGTGCCGTTGTAGAAAGTAGAGAGTAGTTGATAGAGGGATGGAAAAAATGACAGTTGGGGAAAAAGAGAAGAGAGAGATGGTAGCAGGTGGGACTGAAGAGGCTTTATACTCGAAGGGGTAAGTAGTGAAGGTAGCCTTGCGGGGGTGCCTCAGTTTCAGGGCTGATAAGGGACATGTACTACGTTGGCCATACACATTAGCTTCGCGGCTGGAGGGACCGCGGCCATTTTACCTTTGTGCTCACTCATCAGTACGCAATACAGTTGCTGGTGACTAACAAGTTCGGCCCATGGATCTATCCTACAGTGTGTTTCCGATCACCGTTGAGGGGAAGTTCGGCGGGGTTGGGGTCGGGAGTAGTGTTAGAATGTTGGATTGTCTTCTACAGATGGTGATGATAGTAGCATTCTGAAGCCAAGTCAGACTGAATGGACCGATACCGATCCTCGATCTTCTTCAGCCAACGACAGCCAAGATGCGAATGATGCGATGTGGCTATGCTTCCACCATGTCATAGTTGCAGAGTTGCCTGATTCGGCCGATGACGATATCCGACGCGGGGCAGTAATGTGCCCGTCCATCAACATCCTACCGCTTGGCTCACCGCTGGGGTTTCTGCCAGAGTTTCCCCTTTCCCCTTCTTGCCTTCCTTCATATCTCCTTCACAAAGCCGACCTCAATGATCCGCTCCGTCTGGAGTCCAAGTGAGGTGATCTTTGCTCGAGTATTCTCCCTGGCTAACAGGAAGAGCCACAGTGCGATCCTTCGTATGTGATTTCTGCTCTTTTTGATCTTCATCTCCTCTTTGCCGGTGATGTAGATCACCCCGTGTGCGTACGCATTCTCGAGTTTTTCCAAGGAACCATCGCCTCTTTCAGTTTCGGCTACATAAGAGGCAAACGTGTCTCTGGCCGTCGACTGTGCTTCAGAATGGCGTCGACTCTCAGAAATTCCGGTGGATGGGGTGCCGTGTTCATATGGCGCGTTTCTCCTCAGATAAATACGGACTTGTTCGGTTATTGTGTCCGCAAGGTCCGGCAACATGATTTCGTCGTTGTACCCGTAGCGAACCACGAGACGATAACAGTTGGGAATCGCGAGTCTCGAGACTGTATAGCGGTTCTCCACGGTCACAGACGGGACCTCCAGCGGCCGAAGATGGAAGAACACATTCACCTCGGGCATTGAGGTGAGTTTGAGCACAAATTGGCTGAAAACGATGGGGGTTGTCTCGCCCGCCTTGTCAAAGAAGATTCCGAGGCCCCTCGTAGTAGTCAAAGGGGCGCCGCCAAACCGATCAGTCAGTTTCATCTGACCGTTTGGAGCCTTTGCGACGAAATATGCCGTGGGAAAACGATCCTCGGCTTCTGCGAACCATTGACGCTCCTTGCCAAACCGCCAGAGCAGAAAGAGAACAGCCAGCACGCTTGCGAGTGCTAGAGTAAACCATGCTCCCATGGGGACCTTCGTAAGGGCGGCAGAAAGATACGCGCCATCCAAGCAGGCGATTATAAGCCAAGGTAGGAGTACGATGAACGGACTGATACGCCAAACGAAAAGTGCTACCAGGGACACCATGCACGTGTCAAAAAATGTGACGAACATGACGCAGACCCCATAAGCGTTTCCCAGGGACGTTGTCTGCCCTTCCAGTCAATGAAATGCTGGGACGTTGTCCGAAGAAGCTCACTTACGTTATTGTATATTGATGCCACCAGTATGGTTCCTATCATAAGCAACCAATTTGCAGCTGGTATATACAGTTGGCCAAAGAATGTCTTGGACGTATGGATGACTTTGATTTGCGGAAGGTATGAAAGCTTCATCACCTGCGCAAGGAGCTGGAGAGCAGTCAGACATGATGCTTCATCGTGGATTTAAGTTCCTCACCTGAAAAGTGGCGGTTATAATGGCCTGCGATGCAACAATAGCCGCCAATATGGCGATGACCAGGGATGGGTAGATCGTCCCAGGGGGTGCTGCATTGAAAAAAGGGTTCGAATACGCTTCTGGATGAACACTGATGTATGCTGCTTGTCCAATGTAGGCTAGAAGCAAGCATGGGAATGTATAGCACAACCAGCTGATGCGAATGGCTGGAAGACTGAATGCTCCCAAGTCGGCAAAGAGAGCCTCGACTCCTGTGAACGAAAGAAGAGTCCCGGAGAGCATTCTCCATCCATGTTCTCCATGGCGGATCAAGAACTGGAACGCATATCCTGGATTGAAGGCAACGAACACGCCGGCGTCATATTTGGCCAGATTGTATATTCCAAAGACGGCATTGAAAGCGAGCCATATAATGACGATCGGCGCGAAGGCCACAGTGATTTTGGTGATTCCAAAGGGCTGTACGAGGAACAGCACAACGAGGATTGCGTCCGTCACACCAATGATAGTGCCCTTGGAGATGTTCGGCGAGACAACCTTGATACCCTGGACAGCTCCCAAGACAGACTGTGCAGGTGTAAGTAAACCGTCTGCTATAACCATCGTTACGGCCAAGACTCCCATGGTTTTGAGTAGACGCTTGGCAGTTTTACTTGATTCCAGACCATGGCGAGCGTGTCTACTTGGTGGTTGAAGGTCGACGGACATATGTCTCTTCATCTGAACGAGCGAGGCTTCTCGTGGGTCGCGTTGAGTGATGTTCATCTAGCAGCATGAAGATTAGTCTCTGTCTTTGCGTGTCACAGAGTAAGAGGCCCTCACATATCGACTCAGCAAAGAGTATGTACTAAACGTGCCACCCTCCCCATCGTTATCAGCGTTGAGAATGATCAGCACGTATTTCACTGTCACCATCATGAAGAGACTCCAGATGATTATCGAAAGGACCCCTATAAGATCCTCGCGGGAAGGAGCTTCGCTGAAGGTGGATGAGTAGACATAGAGAGGGCTGGTTCCAATGTCACCATAAATTACACCTATTGATTGATAGGCAAGCCAAAGAAGCATTCTCCCCTTGAACACCTGCGAGCCATTAGCATGAAGCCTAGCTTGTGAATGAAAAGCCCTACCTGCTTCTCCTTGTAATCTCCGGGTTTGCGTAGCCCTGGATCTTCATCCGCTTCACTACCGGTGCTTCGTGTGCTTCTGATCCTTTCCAGAGGATTATTCCATGGCCGGACATTGTAGATACTGTCTTGGACATATTCGCTTCCTTCCTTTGGTTCATGTGCGATATGAACCTTTCCAACCCCCGGGGAATCCATCTGTTGGAACGGGACGTGTGGATAGCGAGACGGTTATGCCTGGTGCAAGGAGTATTCAAGATGATAATCACTGAGAATATATGCAACAGCTGAATAGAAGCTGAGATATCACACTGTAATCATCAACAGCTATGAACTGGGCCCCTGGGCAACGAAGAACCATAATATACGGCGCAGAAAGCCATCCTTATCTTCCCTATTTCCACAATTCTGCCTACGAAGATAATGACGCGATGATAACCTGACAATGATAAAGCGATTTACATCTTAGATCCAATCCCCTGGTCAGCATATGATGGTCGTTAAGGGGTACCCGAATGAGGGATTTGTCACAACCAGTCATGCCCAGGCCACCATCCGTTATAGGTCAAGTACCAGATATCAGCACCAAATGGTTATCAATAAGATCTTACGAAACTTGTTTCGTGGTTGTGGATTGAGAGTCAGACGGCCTAGGCTCCTTGGAAGGAGTCAAATGAGAATGGACGGGTGTGTCTGTCACAACGGCGTAAGTGGCATAAGCCATTGGACATCGGAACCACACTTCTAACAGATTCTTATGGACTCAAGCTACCTATATGGTAGGCTACTATGGCTTCATCTCGCTAATACTACGTGTTTTGGGAGGATCAAATCTCCTACCCCCAATCACGCTATTTGACCCCCGCCTACGATCCTGTAGATGGTGCCAAAGAGATCACCTTGCTCATTATTAGCGTCTATATTGTGGTGACCGTCTGACGCCCTATAACGCGTAAAGACAATGCAGCTGTTCCATGATGTCCACTAAGTGCTGTCTAACTGCACATTGTGGAAGAGCATCGTTTTAATGTCCGATGTGATCAACCAGGCGTTCGAACATAGTTCCAAGAAGATAGGCTGTGAGAGGACTTGATATACTTTTCAATCACTCGTTTTATAGCTTATGCGCAAAACGCAGTAGGTACTGTTATAACCCTACATACCCAGACCAATCATCCTCACGCGGCGGCATGCTCATTCCATGCATGCCAGTATATTTAGGGCTCTCTGGCTCCTTCCAGCCCTTAAGGACTGTCGAATCAATCAACCTGTACACTTCCACCCCCAAAGGACGGGTTGTGGCGCCCATAGTATCTGCCTTTTCTTCCCAGCCCCAGTTCGAAAGATCTCCTACGATCATTTAACAGCCATTCTGTGAAGAAAAAGGGCCGAGCTTACCTCCTGGACACGCAGAAAGCGCACAAAGAACATCAACCTCTGCAAAGAACTCAAAGTACTCATTCGGCTTCGCAGGCGAAGTCTCCATGAAGTATTTCCCTTCTTCGTCCAGCCCAGTAACCTGGAAAACGTTGAGAACGTCATGTACATCGAGTTCCGTCAGACCAAACGGTATCACCGCACGGGTAAGGTTCGAGTGACAATGGAAGTCGAACGACTCTCCTCCCATGAGCAGGTTCACGTAGGGGTCGCAACGTGTTCCTAGGAGATCATGGACGCGTCCACCATGCTTCGTTGTGCCGAACCCTTTTGTCCGCCTGCCGTCTGCATCTAACACCTCGTGGAGCTGCCCGCCTCCAAGTGAGTCCCCAGTGATAGTGACAAGGGGCCGCAGGTATGGAAGGTTGGACCAAAGACGGTCACCCACAGACACATGGGAGGCGTGGATCTGACGGGTGCGCGCAGCCCAGAGTCGCTCGCGAGGGTTCTTCGCGTTCCAAATATTCAAATCACCCACCTGAGGTCCCTTCGGGGTGGTCAGGCGGCAGATGTGCCCTGCAGGCACCACCCACGCTTGTGCGGAACACGGCCGTATGGTGAACGACGTCTCCAGAGACCGTTGGGAGGCATCTGAGGCGGTCTTGGAGAGCAATTGATACACTTGCGAGGTGGCATTGATGCCTGAATTGGCTGGGGCCTGATATGCAGGCGGAGGGCGGCGGTCTGCGGTCATTGTATAGAAGTCGTGCTTGAGGTCGGTGGGTGACTGGAATAGCATCTTTGCATAGAGACCACGCAGCCTTTATATCACCGAATATCGGAGGCACTCCAATTACCTGTCAATTTACCCCACTCCATATTCAACCCCGAATCCTCCAACGCCTAAGCCTCCAAGTCTGGCCGGTCCGGTTGATAATGGACGGAGAAGGCGGTGGATCCCTTATCGCGAAATGGCGGGGCTGATACGAGTCTTTGTTGCCTGGTAAATCAGGCTGCGATCAGAAACTTTTTTTTTTTTCCGTGAAAAGATATCGGCGCGGAGGAATTTCCGTCCCGACAAGCAGAGGAAATAATAATTTTGGCCGAGCTACGAAGCAGTCGGAACTCAGCCCATCCTCGATTGCTCAACTCTGCTACTAATCTTCGCCTTCCGGTAGAAGACAACGTTATCCTCAGAGGTCGTGGACCTCAGGTTTTCAATATGGAGGATCAGTCCAATCGGGCGCATCGGCCCTCGAAGGAGAAGAAAAAGTATGATGGTATGTATAGTCTGCGCAGCTTTGGTCGCGCTCAGAAATCATCTGCTTTCTCCTGCATTCTCACTACGATTTCGATACACTGACGAACTCTTCAACCATTTAGGCCCGAATCCGAAGGCCTTTGCGTTCTCCAACCCTGGAAAGGGAAACAGACAAGGCGCGCGATCGCACGATGTATGATTCTTTTCGGTCCCGATCATTCGTCTACAGAACTTGCGCGCTGACAGATACGCTCGTAATAGATAAAAGAAAAGCGACTGCATGTGCCTTTGGTGGACCGTCTGCCTGAAGAGGCCCCTCCGCTTGTCGTTACAGTGGTTGGACCGCCGGGGGTATGTTCGACCCAGCTGCTCTACAAAGACATTATCTAACCTGTCTTCTTTCGCTAGGTTGGAAAAACCACACTGATCAAGTCCCTCATTCGTCGCTACACCAAGCAGACTCTCAGTTCTCCGACTGGACCACTGACAGTGGTGACCTCGAAAAAGCGACGCCTCACATTCCTCGAATGCCCTTCCGATTCCCTGGCCAGTATGATCGACGTCGCCAAAATCGCCGACATTGTGCTTCTCATGATCGACGGTAATTATGGGTTCGAGATGGAGACTATGGAATTCCTCAATGTTCTTGCGTCGAGCGGAATGCCGGGTAATGTCTTTGGTATTCTGACGCATCTCGATTTGTTCAAGAAACAGAGCACTCTTCAGGCGGCGAAGAAGCGTCTCAAACACCGATTCTGGAGCGAACTGTACAACGGCGCCAAGTTATTCTACCTCTCTGGTGTTGTCAATGGCCGGTATCCTGACCGCGAGATCCACAATCTCTCTCGTTTCCTGTCCGTGATGAAAAACCCTCGGCCCCTGGTGTGGCGTAACTCCCACCCATACGCACTCGCAGATCGATTCCTGGACATCACGCCGCCCACTCAGATTGAAGAGAATCCGAAATGTGACCGGACAGTGGCGCTCTATGGATATTTGAGGGGCACAAACTTCCCCGCCCAGGGGGCGCGGGTGCATGTGCCCGGAGTCGGTGATTTGACCGTGTCAGGAATTGAATCTCTGCCGGATCCTTGTCCAACCCCTTTCATAGACCAGCAAATGGCCAAGGCCTCGGGCAAATCCAAGCAGCGCCGATTGGGAGAGAAGCAGAAGCTTCTTTTTGCACCCATGTCCGATGTTGGTGGTGTGCTTGTGGATAAAGATGCAGTTTACATCGATGTCAAAACGTCAAATTTCGACAGAGGCGAAGATGACTCCGAAAATGAAGAGCGTGGTCTCGGAGAGCAGTTGGTCGTTGGCCTACAGGGTGAGCGGAGACTGCTCGGTGAGGCCGATGGCGGTGTCCGTCTATTCCGGGGAGGCGAGGCTATCGAGAAAGACGATGAAGAGGATGTCGGAGGCAGAAAGCACAAGAGAACAGTGCGATTCATGGAAGGTGGAAATGATGACACCGCACCAAACGATGAAGATGAAGGTTTTGAAAGTGCTGAAGAAGAAATGGACGGGGAGGAGGATGAAATGGACGGTGGCAGCGACGAAGACGTTGACGTCTCCGCCCCGCCCGATTTCGAGGCCAGCTTCAAGGAGAAGCAGAACGGTGATATTCGTCAAGAGGAAGGGGACATTGCATTTGCCGATAGCGACTCTGATCTTGGTTCCATCTCGTCCGTCGAAGACCAAGTCCTAGAGAGCGACGAGGATGAAGATATGGACGACGAAGATGATGACGGAACCCTCAGATGGAAGGAGAATATGGCTGCAAATGCAAAGGCCATGCATTCCAACCGGCCAAAGTACCGTGTCGCTGACTTGTCGCGTATGATGTACGACGAGTCTGTTTCTCCGATCGATGTTATCCGGAGATGGACCGGCAAAGGAGAGGATGCAGAAGAAGCCGAACAAGATGATGACGAGGACGAGCTTTTCCGGAAGGCCGATACTAAGAAGGAGGAACAGTCGGACTTCCGTGCCGTGCCTGAGTACGACTACGAGGAGTTGGAACAGAAATGGCAGGATGATGACCTTATTGAGTCTCTGCGGAAGCGGTTTGTCACCGCCAAACTTTCTGGTGGTGATGATGATGACGACGAAGAAGAAGATGGCTACGAAGATGACGACGACGAAGGAGATGGTGCCTTCGAGGACCTCGAGACGGGTGAGGTTTTTAACGGTCTCTCCGACGATGAAGCCGACGAACCTAAAGAAGAAGGTCCCGTCGACTTGGATGCGGAGCGTGAGCGCAATGCGAAGAAGAAAGAAGAGCTGAGATTGCGCTTTGAGGAAGAAGACCGAGAGGGATTCGCAAACGCGAAGGACAACTCGCGTGGCGGAGAAGAAGAATTTGGCGAAGACGACTGGTACGATATGCAAAAGGCGAAGCTCCAGAAGCAGCTTGACATCAACCGAGCCGAGTTTGATTCCCTTGACCCAGCCTCCAGGGCGCGGGCTGAGGGATTTAAGGCTGGTACATACGCCCGTATCGTCCTCGAAAAGGTCCCCTGCGAATTCGCTACGAAGTTCAACCCTCGCTTCCCCGTGATCATCGGTGGGCTGTCACCCACTGAAGACCGGTTCGGTTACGTCCAGATTCGGATCAAGAGACATCGTTGGCACAAGAAGATCCTCAAGAGCAATGACCCGTTGATCTTTTCTCTTGGATGGCGTCGTTTCCAGACTCTGCCTATCTACAGCACATCCGACAGTCGTACACGAAACCGCATGCTGAAATACACCCCGGAGCATATGCACTGCTTCGGCACTTTCTACGGTCCGCTGGTTGCGCCTAACACAGGTTTCTGTTGTGTCCAGTCGCTATCTAACAAAACGCCGGGCTTCCGAATTGCCGCCACCGGTGTTGTGCAGAGCGTCGACGAGCACACGGAAATTGTGAAGAAGCTGAAGTTGACTGGTCTCCCGTACAAGATCTTCAAAAACACGGCATTCATCAAGGACATGTTCAATTCGTCTCTGGAGATTGCCAAGTTCGAAGGTGCCGCCATCCGAACGGTATCTGGTATTCGTGGTCAGATCAAGCGTGCCCTCAGCAAGCCCGACGGGTGCTTCCGTGCTACCTTTGAAGACAAGATTCTCATGAGTGATATCGTCTTCCTGCGCGCCTGGTACCCGATCAAGCCACACCGGTTCTACAACCCTGTGACGAACTTGCTTGATCTTGAGGACGAGTCCGGTGACAATGGATGGCAGGGAATGCGTCTGACCGGCGAAGTGCGTCGGGAGAAGGGCATCCCTACCCCGATGAACAAGGACTCTGCCTACCGTCCGATCGAGCGACCTACCAGACACTTCAACCCTCTCCGTGTCCCCCGCCAGCTGGCTGCGGACCTTCCCTTCAAGTCCCAGATCACGCAAATGCGCGCGCACAAGGACCAGACCTACATGCAGAAACGCGCGGTGGTCCTGGGCGGCGAGGAAAAGAAGGCGCGCGATCTTATGCAGAAACTCACGACGATGCGCAATGAGAAGCAAGCCAAGCGTGCGGCGAAACAGGAGGAGCGGAGGAAAGAATATCGGGCTAAGGTTGCGGAGAGTCTGGAGAAGAAGGCGGCTCGTGAGCGACGAGAGCGCGACGAGTACTGGAGGCGCGAGGGTAAGAAGCGCAAGAACCCCGAGGAGGCAGGGGGCGGAGGCAAGAAGCGTCGTTGATCTCGTTGTATATGTACTTATAACCTTTGCTTTTTTCGGAGCTCTGCCTGCACAATACAGGGCAAGCTGGACATTAAGTAGACTGAGTATATACCCCTCCTAAAAATGATTTTGTTAGGTCTTAGTTAAGATAGCGGTGCTGCGTATAATGCACAGAATATTAGTTACCCATTGAGTCATGCATTGAAGCATGAAATGAAGACACACACCTCCCCAAGGTTCGCGAGGCCCTGAACATTACCCACTTGGGGTGGGCATACTGAGCTTTAGCTCGCCGCTAAGTCAATCTTGGCGCCCCCTTGCGGTCCCGGGGATCTATTGATGTGCTGCTTCCTTCTCCTGTCCCGGATAGGCCCCAAGATCGCTCGATTCATTGCGCCAATCATGCCCCCCATCCCCGATGGCCCCCGCGGGCTTGCATCGGCAAAACCAACAAAAGGCTGATGACTCCGCAACACCTTCTCCAATTCAGCTCCCCCCCGATAAGCCCTCGCGTGGACGGTTTAAAAGGAAACGGCCCACGCGACGGGCTTGTTGACTCTCCCGCACAGCATAGCAGATATCTGTCTTGGCGACAATGCCCGAAAAGATCAAGGGAGACTCCCCTCCCAGGGATGACTGCAAAGATTTCGAAAATGAAGGCACCATGTTGACCTTCTCGGCCGAGGATGAGAAGCGCATCATTCGGAAAATCGACTGGAAGTACGTTCGTCTCATTATCTATGTCTGTATGTTCTTTGGTGAGGTGTCAAACTGACAATTGATTGTACAGTCTAATGCCCCTGTTGACCTTCTCCTACGCCTTGCAATTCTTGGACAAAACCAGTCTGTCCTACAGCGCCATTCTTGGGATCAGGGAAGATCTAGTTCGTGTGCTCCCGGTCTGGTCATGAATTTGTCCAGTTAACAATAACAGAAATTGGTCGGTCAAGAATACAGCTGGGCGTCCAGCATCTTCTATATCGGTTACTTGGCGGCGTCGTACCCTATCTCCTTTGGTTTCGTCAAATTCCCCCTGGGGAAGTACCTGAGTGTTCTAATGTACGTGTTTACGCGATGTCTGCCCCTTCGATATGCTAATTATACTAACCATTGCCGATCGAATAGTTTTCTTTGGGGAGTCATTCTTACCTTCCATGCGCTTGCGTCCAACTATGCCAGTCTCATGGTTCTGCGGACCTTCCTGGGGGTGTTCGAATCAGCCATCAGTCCAGGGTTCTCCCTAATCACTGGCATGTGGTACACCCCGAAAGAACACGTCTCAAGACATTCAGTTTGGTTCTGTGGAAATGCCGCTGCAGGGATCATCGGGTCTCTTATATCCTATGGCATTCTGTATTACGGAGGGGAGTTTGCCAAATGGAAAGTAGGTCATCTGCTGGAATACGCTGCGATAAAGGCAACTGCTAATCTATTATCGACGATCTATAGATCTTGTTTTTGACCTTCGGCCTGTTGACCGTGGCGTGGTCAATAGTCCTCTTCTTCTTTCTCCCCGACTCCCCCTTGAACGCGCATTTCCTCACGTCCGCGGAGCGAGAGTTCGTCTCCCTGAGACCGAAGAAATTCCAGCGCACTACCCAGACCAAGAAATGGGATCGTGGTCAATTCATCGAGACCATGACTGACGTGAAGACCTGGTGGTTCTTGGTATTTTCCTTCATCATCTGTGTTCCAAACGGAGGCACGACTAGCGTATGTGCCCTATGCACACATTTCGAATTACCTTCTGACATCTACACCAGTTCCAGACGCTCATTATCAACGGCTTCGGATACGACGTATACAAGACCATCCTCATGGGGCTGCCAGCTCCCGCCTTCCAGTTGACCACAGTCATCCTGACGGCTCTATTTGCCTCCAATGTCCGCAAGTCGCGGCTGATTGCCTTTGTGTTAATCTTCCTTATGGGACTGGCTGGTATCTTGATGATCAAACTTCTCCCCGAAGAACAGAAACTGTCTCGCCTGGCTGGCTTCTGGCTCGTCACGGGTATCGCGCCCGCCTTTCCCGTCATGATGTCGCTGTTTGCCAGTAATACAGCTGGATTCACGAAGAAGTCCACGACGGCTGCGGTGATCTTTGTGGGTTACTGCGTTGGCAATCTGGTTGGGCCGCAGTTCTTCAAGAGCAACGAAGCGCCAAACTATACCGTGAGTACTACCCATTTGCGATTGATCAGACGGCGGATCTTCTGACTCGGCTTTCAAGACTGCATACACCACTATCCTGGTATGCTTTGTCATCACGATCTTCCTGGTTATCGGCCTCCGTATATACTTGGATCTGGTAAACAAACGGCGGGATCGCGAACAGGGTGTCCATATCGACGCTGAAACGAGTCGAACTGTTCATCTAGACACCGATGATAGTCTGGAGGAAGTTGATGAGACCGATAAACAGAACAGAAGCTTCCGCTATGTTCTGTAGATGTTGTCTATCGAGCATTCGTTCTTCTATGTTATAACGCTGTGCTGTTCGCTATTTTGGTCTACTTTGCATATATACAACCCTTGGTAGTTAATATCCGGTCTTGAACTCCCACAACGGACAAGGTCACTCGACAACAATACATTATATCCAGCAACTTGATTATCGACAGGCGTTAAAATATCCATACAACCACCGGCTTATGTTCCGCCTGTCAATTGGCGGATAGTAGTCATGCGAATCGCCCCGCCAAGTCGACCCTTTTCCATAAGAACCACACCTAGCATATCCTTGAATCCAGGATCAGAAATATTGGCACGAATCCAGCCCCGATGAATCGGGTCGGAAGTTTCAACCCCTGCAATCAGCAAAGCCCACTGGAATCGTTCCAGGAGCTGCACCGGTCCAGCGGCAATAGTTTTATACGCCACTGCCAGGAGAGCGGCCAGCGCTCGTTGGGTGTGAGGCGAGACTGGGGTACTCCCAAAGCCGTTCGTAGTAGCTCGATCGAGGTAGACGTGCAGTGCGTAGAAGACAGTCGTTGTCACGTATGCCATGAGAGGGGTCGGCGTGGCATCAGGTTGCTGTTCCTTTACGAGGGAGGAAAGGAATGAGACATTCTGGAATATGTGGTGAGCTCAGGGATACCTGCCACGTCAAGAGCATGCTTACCTTTTCTAGGTTTTCCAGACGCCTTCTCAATTTGACATCTGATTCATAGGGATCCTGGACCTTGTTCTGGCTGAGACAATTGATGTCCTGGTGCAGGACTATCAACTCAAAGTACACATCCAGGATGTACTTGTTATCTTCCTCAAGGCCCAAGCTCAAGACGGAACCAAGCCCGCCCATAGGCCACAGGAACGGTATACGAGAGATCTGCCACAGCGCCTGTCTCTTATCTGGCATGGAATTCACGTAGTTCGCCAATGCACCGCCGCACCCAAAGAAGCAGCACAGTCCATCTCGATCATAGAGGTAAATGAGAATCCTTGAGAGCAGAATCTGATCGGAGACGGTCATTGCAAGCTCTGGGAGGTTTGTGATCGGCGGAAGCAGCTCTCCAAGCGAGCAGACGGTGTCTAATGTGTACAGTTGCACGTAATTGCAGATGGTTCGGCTGATTTGATGCAGCTTCCGCGAGTCAATGCGGCTGCGTCGCATCCAGAATAGATAAATGTAGAGGAACGACAGCATCATGTTGAGGTGGTCGGTGGAGGCTGTTCGCTGCAGGTCCACCTGTTTCTGGAGCAGTTCGGATCCGCGCCGGTAGTGCACGCGGGACTCTTGGGGAGGAGTCGGCCCGTGCTTCATGTAGATTGCGAGTTCATTGTGGGACACCGCTAAGAGGAAATGCAGTGCCATCTCCCGGTCGAAGGCGCGGTGCAGGAAGAGGGTATGCGCGGATTTGGAGGAGTCTTGGGTGGATCTGAGTGGAGAATATATGTCCCTGTGGAAAGATAGGGCTTGCATGTCTTTGCTTTGTAAAGTTTCCCAGTTTCCTAAGCTCATTAGAGAGGGCCCCATTGCATGAATCAGGTCGTCTGTTAAGTTCGGTTCAGCAGATAGTGATGGAACTGCGTCAGTGGGAAAACTGCCGTCAAGGTGTTCGGGATGGGTGCAAGAAGAACCTCCTTCATAAACGCTTGATACATTCATTCCAGTATCATCGTCAAGCGGAAGGGGGTTCGGAAGTTGTATCAAATCATTGGAGGTCATCGTCCCTGTAGCTTGGCTCTCCGCTTCAAGCGCAGGCAATTGATGGGATGTCGATGGCGTATCCTCAGCGCTATTGGGCAGGCATGATAGACCGCTCTCTCCCCCGGGCTCCGTGCTAGTATCCCTACTGTCTCTGCATCTAGGCTGGATCGTCCTGGGTGTCCAGCACCAACGATCTTTCAACGGCCCAAAACCCCGTCTGCGCTCTGCCAATGAGGGCTTAGCAATAGGCCATTCGCAGAATAGTCTGAGCCGAGCACATCGACTGCAGATTGGATGTCTCTCGTCACATTTTACTTTCTTTGACACACATGTCTGACAGCCTACAATATCCACATGCACACATTAGTCCAACAACCATCTCTTTACGACAGTGAACCAAACTCACCATTTTTAGACCGTTTACCCCGCTCTTTGCGAGGACGACGAGGTCTTGAGCCGTCCGCAGCAGGCTGCACCATGGATGCACCAGTCAATGGATGATTGTCAGAACATGCTGGCGGATGAAGTCCAGGCGGGGAAACGTCGGCTCATAGATAAATCGTCTATCGCGATCCTTGGCGCTCGTCGACTATTCTAGCCAATCATGTCTAGCACCTGTACTAATTCTATCAAAACTGCGACAAACGCCGCGTTGCGAAATCTCCCCAGCCTTCTCTATCTCGTTCCAGATCAACCTCAGTATTCCCTTCTGTCCGACCTCTGATAATTCGACAAAATGGGAAACGTCCTCTCTGCGTATCAAACAACGGAATGTCAAATCGAGCTGCCGGGCAAAGGCACAATCCGCGGTCTCCAATACGACAGCAAGGCGTGCCGCTTTGCAGGCGTTCCTTATGCTGTCCCGCCTATGGGTGAACTGCGATGGCGAAAGCCCCAACCGCTCCCCCCTTCGCATTCCTACTCCTCAGAGAATGGTACACCGTACGATGCCACACGGTTCGGTCCTGTCTGCCATCAACCGAACTACTCGCGGGCAGTCTCGAAGAATGTCCCGCAACATCAGTACAGCGAGGATTGTCTCCGGCTGAACATTTGGACTCCCGTCAAGAAGCCTGGGGAGACTGATCCTAACTGGCCCGTGGTGGTCTGGTTCCACGGTGGTTGGTTCCAGGTCGGAGATCCCAGTCAGGAGGAGGCTATGGACCCGACTGAGCTTATCTCCACGGGCGGGCTCAACGCGGTGTTTATTGCAGTCGGGTACCGGCTCAGCGTCTTCGGCTTTCTGGCTGGGGATGCTTTATGGGAGGAGAGCAACAAAAAGGAGGTGGGCAACTACGGGTTGTGGGATCAGCGGCTCGCTCTGGAATGGGTATCAGAGAATATTGCCGCGTTCGGTGGCGATCCTCGCAACATTACTCACGCTGGAAGAAGTGCGGGCGCCTATTCTGTCCAAGCTCAGGCGCTGTATGACTTCCAGAGGACTGATCCTCCCAGGGATCTGTTCCGGCGAATGATGATGCATTCCAACTCTATCCCTACGCAGCCCAAGACGCCGGAAGATTGTCAGCCGCAGTTCGATGAGCTGTGTCAATATTTCAACATCCCGGGCGATTGGAGCGGGCAGGATAAGATGAATAGGCTTCGTCAAATACCTGCCGAAGATCTTACAGATGCCACTATGAAGCTGGATCATCACACGTTTCGTCCGGTTACGGACGGCGTTTTCATTCAGCCCGGTATCTTCAAGTATTATCGGGACGGCTCCTTTGCCACCGAGTTTAAAAGAAGAGGCTTGCGTCTCTACATAGGCGAAGTCTTAAATGAGAACACCTTATATGCCATTACCAATGGGCCCGACGCAAACCTTGCCTCTCTGGAGCTCCAGCTGAGCAACTATTACCCCTCGTCCACAATGAAACGTCTACTCCAGCACTACTCTGTTCCAGCGTCCTCCGAGAAGAAGGATTGGGAAGATGCTTTTGGCCGTATCGTGGCGGATGGCCAAGTGCGTGCGCCGTACAGGTTCTTAGTCAACAATCTACTATCTTATGGGGTGGATGTTCGAGATGTGTGGAGGTACTGCATCGCGTATCGACTGTCCTTCATCACCGATAAGGTAGCTCCAGAATCGATGGGTGTGAGCCATGCGATGGATCGGCCGCTGTGGAAGTGAGTGATGTCTAATATAAACTCTTCACATTGACATTCGAGATAGACACTGACAGTCCATCTAGTTATTCGATCATGCACGGGCCAACCCCCACCGAGCGAAAGATCATGGACGACTGGGTCAGGGACTTGGCTTCATTTGTGAGAGGCGACAAGGCTTATTCGTACGGCACGCAAGCCGCGAACGAACACAAGGTCCTTACTCCTCAAGGCACGATCGAGGTCCAAAACGATGAGCGGTGGGAAGAGTTGTTGAGATTAATGGAGGTGTTCGCTGGATGATGCGCACTGCACTCGATTACTTGTGATGGGTTTGACTAGTTTTGATTGTCACATCTCATCTGATGTCGAAGAAATAGCTGACTCCAGAAGCCACCCCTGTATTAGCAGTATTACCAGGGCCAGTGATTCAGAGTAAATGCGGCATGCTCTAGCGATGCTTCCCAGGAGGACAGGGGCGAGATATACATTCTAATGATTCTGGGGCCAATGAATGACGAGGCCTTCTACCGGCCTAGGTTCCATTCTGTATCCTCCAGAGATATATATCTGATTTTGATTAGCTTGCTAGGGAAATGTGGGATGTCACGGTCTTTCAAACGCTTTAGTCCTACGAGAGTAGAATCCCTACTAAGATTTCTAGAAGCCCAAAACGTATGTTATGTGTATATATATGGCCAGTGGCTTTCGAAATGTAAACGTCCATGCCATGGTTAGCCCAGAATGTCACCTTAAGACAAGATCTGGCCTCATTTTGGCAACGGGATACTCAGCGGATGATGGAATAGATCGGCCGGGTCATATTTTGCCTTTATCGAGGAGAGCCGGGGAAGGTGAGAACCATAAAAGCTCATCATTAAACTTTCCTCGTCTTCGCCCTCCTCCAAGTCATCGTCGCCAATGTATGCCCCGGCCGTGAACGGAAGGAAAAGATTGTACGCCTGGTCAAGCCATGGCATCCGCTTGTCACCCTCAGACAGCAGCTCGCCTTCTTGGTGCTCACGCTGAGTGATGTACACAGACATGCCCATAATCCAATGACAGCGGCGTGCTCTGATGGATGTCTGGTCCGGCTGTGGAACATGTTCTGGGTCGAGAGCAAGGAGTTGGACCCGAACACCAGTCGGTGGCTGCGTTGTGAGGAACGCCCCGATGCGTTCTATGGCGTCATCTGGTAGGGGTTCTGGGACATACCCAGACTTAATCTTCATGTAGCGAAGGTACTGTTTACCCTCCCGTTGGATCTCACTGAGTTTATTATACCACGGGGCGGAAGTCTGCCGTTTCGAAACATCCATCACCGACTCGGGGTAGCTCATTGGGACCATACGAACGTCCAATGACTCCGGCAAGGATCCTAGAAATTCTGTCCAGATTGCGTCCCTCTCGGAGTCTGAGGACGCTAGGATCGTGCCGAACACTTCAAACTTCTCCACCCATGCCACGACCATAGTGTTGATAGATTTGGGAGCGCCAAGACAAGCGGCCTGGAGCCTTTTGAAGATGTAAGGGATCTCAAAGCTGGGGAGCCTCCATATCACTGAGAAATTGGCTATAGAGGTAGGGATATCGTTTGTTCGCAGTGTGACTGTCGTGATGACCCCGAATGAGCCTGTGCCAGATCCTCGAACAGCGTAAAAGAGATCGGCGTGATGGTCCTGGTCTACATGAAGAATCTCCCCGTCCGCAGTCACCATTTCGAAGGCAAGAGCACGGTCCACGAGTGGGCCATAGGTGCGCGAGTAAAAGCCATAACCGCCGCATTGGATCTGACCAGCCAGTCCGACAGACGGGCAAGTGCCCAGCGGGACCATTTTCCTCCCGTTGTGATGAGCTTCTGTATGGACTTGGCTCAGAAGGGCCCCTCCTTGGGCTGTCAATTCGCTCTTGCCAGGATTGGAGCACACATGGTTCATCTTCACCATGTCGATAACCATCGCGCCATTTTTCCCGCCCAGAGACAAGCCTTCGAAAGAGTGACCACCTCCACGTACTGCCACTTGAGATATACCAATATTCCTAGCGCTTTTGATTGCCAGGCTCACGTCGTCGACCGTCGTTGGTTGCACGATGGCTAGGGGTTGATACTGCGCTCGGATATTCCATGTTGCAGTTGACTGGGTGTAGTTGTTGTCATCCGCCACAATGACTGGTATATGAGCAGGGAGGCGTTTGCGGAGGGCTTCTGGCATAGAGACGGGAAGATTCTCGGAGTTCATTGTTTTCAGAGGGAGGTGATAACGACTTCCAACCAAAGGCGTGGTCTATATTGAAAGAAATGAACTATCGAGGATGATAGGTGGGCCTGAAGCCAGTTTATGTGATACAGATATCTAACTCTCACTGCATCATGGAGACTATCATTTACTATTTCATGACGCATAAACCAACAATTCTTCCAGTGCTTCTGCGCCTCTTCGCTGATCAAGTATCAGCGACAGCCTCTGTGGCCATCGAGCGATTTGTTCAGGCTCTGGGCCCACCCAATGCTTACTCAGGGTTTAGGGGATCCAAGATTCTCTGCCCGTCCGGCCCGTCGGGCACGAGGGAAAACAAACGCCGCATCGATTATGATATCACAGCTTACTGTTGATTCATGGCAAACAAGACGGATTATGAGGTAATGAAGGTGTGGAGGCGCCGCAGTAACTAGTTCAGTACAGTCGCAGAACATCCTCTGTACTCGGTGACCATTAATCAAGCTTGGTACGTCGATTTCGTCATCACTGCTGTCGGTGCATGGAGCCACGGCCTCATGTGGTCGATGAAATGCGCTCGCTCATGTTGTGCCTACCCTATCCAATATACTGCATGCCACATGTCCAGATCGTTGGTCCAAAGACCGAGGTTGAGCGTCATGTACATCAGCAGGATTCCAGATCAGTAGAGACTCTACAGAGTTGGTCCCGTAGTAGGACCGGCTAAGAACGAATATGTCTGGTTCATACATATATTCTATGGTCCCAAAAGCTGTTTCTACGTGTCTGCAGATGCATGTGTTTTACTCGATAAATCAGCCCACATATACCGCCAAAAAACGGCCTTGCCATAGGCACCATGAGGGGTGCAAGAGATGCTCCGGCTCCTATCTTCGATGTCCATGAAGAGATAGACGCGCATTGGCCGTATATCCAGAACATTCTCCACGATCTTCGTCGAGTCAGCGACCCTGGTGTTGACGAACCCATATCGAAGGGAACAAACAATGATGACTGGGAAGAATTGACATCCTTGGCTATCCCTCAAACCACTGCACAGCCCCTGACGAAAGTTGTGCAAGAAGCGTATCATATTTTTGACCACCGCATGCGAACGAACCATCCAACGTTCTTCAGCTTCATCCCGTCAAACTCCACTGAACTCAGCTGGCTCGGAGATATTTTGGTGTCTGCCTTCAATGCTCACACTGGCGGTAGGATAGCGAGCGCCGGACCCTGTGGCGTGGAAACGGCTCTGGTCGGATGGCTTGCTTCGAAAATCAATTTCCCTTCAACCGCGGGGGGCTTCTTCGTTTCGGGGGGTTCTATGGCAAACCTGATGGCCATGATCATTGCAAGAGACCAAGTACTCCCAAGGGGGGCCCGTTCTCGTGGGGTGATATACGTTGGAGACCAAGTTCACTATTCCATATCGAAGGCGGCGCGTGTCCTGGGATTCGGTGAGGATCAAGTGCGCCAAGTCAAATGCAATGCCAGATTTCAGACTATGCCACAGGATCTCCAGAGGCAAATTCGACGAGACAAACAGACCGGCCTGATCCCGTTCCTGGTTGTTGCTACCTTTGGCTGTACCGAGACCGGTGCTATAGACCCTATTGATGAGATCTCGAAAATTGTATCCGGAGAAGGGCTATGGCTACATGTTGATGGTGCTTTCGGTGCGTCAGTGGCATTGTCATCGTCGCGGCAGGAAGTGGCAAGCGTGTTAGGTCTCGCACATAGCGTGTCTTGGGACGCACACAAATGGCTGTTCCAAACCTACGGGTGCGGTATGCTACTTGTGCATGATAAGAATAAGCTGGTGTCCAGCTTTCACTCTAAGGCCGATATTATCGACCGGGAGAGAAGGCTGGAGCCAGATATCGGAGAGTTCTGGGATTTCGGTATTGAGCTGACCAGGCCGTCTCGGGCTATGAGGCTCTGGTTCACTTTTAGAGTCCTGGGCGAGGAGCGCATCGGCACATGGATCGATCACGGGCCCGATCTCACGGAGACTATTCAATCATGTCTGGAAGAAAGGCCTTGCTGGGAGATCGTGTCAAGGGCCAGCTTGGGGATTCTTAATTTTCGATACAATCCCGGAGGAATGACGGAGGAAGCGCTGGCGAAGGTCAATGAGCAGATACGTCAGGCTATGCTGGCGAGCAGTACTGCTGCGTTCATGACCACGAAGCTACAAGGCAAGGTAGCCTTGCGGATCTGCTGCATCACTACCCATCTGGCAAGAGAGCACGCTGTCAATCTGGTGAGAGTTTTGGACCAGACAGCCAGGGCCGAATACGAGCGTCAGCAACACCCCTCCAGACGTCCATCTGCCGCTCTCCGGAGATGACCTGATGTCATGATATGTTTGTTGTCGATACAATCTTTCTAGATCGAATAAAGATTTTGAAATAGACTGTGCACGATCTACAGTAGATGGCTGGGCTATCTAAGAACCCCCGCGATAAGGTAAAGGGCCACTAACCTAAAGCAGAATAAGAAACCAGACTAACGCTTTTCGCTCTTCCTGAGAATTTCAGCCGCCTGGGGGCGAGGCTGCCAAGGCTTGACTTATTTATTAAGTTGCTCGCTGGGACCATGGCATCCAAAAAGTAAAATACCCGGCATCTCCCTGTCAGTGTGTTGTCGCCCTCGATGCCTCCTCCGTGCACATACTCCCCTCGACATCTGAAAGGAGAGCCCCATTACAAGTAACGCCAGTATGGTGGGAGTTCCTCGCAGTGGGGGCTGTCCCACCTGTCTGAGCCGCAAGGTGAAGGTCAGTAGCGCCCTGGATCATAGTCGCATCACCCTTACCCAGGACTACCTCTGGGCTGATACACTGCCATTTCATCCAACAGTGCGATGAGACCCGTCCTGGCTGCCAACGATGTACCAAAAAGGGCCTGAAATGCCCGGGGTATACCCGCCCTCTCGACATTCGCACTCAGAAGCCCCCGTTCGCCGCTCCACCTCGGGATCGAAAACACCCCAAACCCGCTTCATGGGTCATTGCACGGAAGCCGACTACTCGGCCGCTACTACTGCCTCAGATCACCATTGACGAAGTCCTTGCGCCGAACCTAGCGTACGAAGCTCTTAGCATGCAGACGAAAGAATCGTTTCAGGGCTGGCTGATGTACTACTTTCCTCGGGTTTACTTTTCCTTTAAATCTCGCGTTGATGTAGATTGGATGGACTTCCTGCGCGATATACCACCTGCCCAGTTTCCGCAGGCGCTCATGTGGGCGATCCGCGCTCTGATCACGTTTCAAATGGGGACTCTGCAGGGCAATGAGATGGCCATCTATTCCGCTCGTCACATGTATGGCCGCGGACTCTGCCATCTCCGAGCGCTTCTACAAACTCCGGCGGCACTCTCAGACGAGTGTCTCGCCTCTTGCATCCTGCTTGGTGGGTATGAGATTCTGGATGGAAGCAGCGAACGCTCCTGGATTTCTCACACGCATGGGATCCGGTATATTATGAGTGCGCGTGGTGCGGCGGCGCATAAGTCCGGGATTGGCCGTACATTAATGCTTTCTTTTCGGCCCTTCTTGATTTCTGAAGCTTTTGTCATGGGCGAACATTGCTTCCTGGGAGACGCTGAGTGGACATCGTTGAGCAACCATGCTCTTGAGGGAGATGGTAAGAAAGGGAAAAAGAGTGCCTTGGGCAAGATCCTGGACAATGCGTTTGATGAGTTCGCGAAATGCCCAGGCTATTACGCTGTCACACGGAACATTCTGGCGTCACCGACTGACCCCGACAACGCAGTCATGGATCCCCTGCTAAGTGATATTGCACATGCGAAGGAGCGTCTACGCCAACTTCGAGCTCAGCTGGATATTGACCAAAGTATGAGAGATTTGGATTCCTTCAGTGGCTCCGTACCAGCCACGTACGTGGATAGTACGGCACAGCTCATTAGTGATGGTATCAATTCCATTCTGGCACTCTTGGGTCAGCTTTCGACTATTCTGGAAGCAGACCAGAGCCGAAGAAGTCTTCAGCGACAGGCGAGACTGGTATACGGTGCCAACTCTACACCCGGACAGGATCCGTGGCGTTTGTCTGCAGAGAAATTTTCCCGAAGGAATGACATCCGCCAGCCACTCTTGCTTTGCGATCCAACGGCGTTCACATCTAGTACCCGCCCAATTGGGGATGCGCTGGATCGGTTCTCTTTGGATTTGGGGATGGGAAGCGTATCTACAAATGCTTCTCAGCCATCTGAATTTGCACCCACGCCGGTTTGGAAGGATATGCCTCCGTGAGTTTGCTGAAGCTGTGAAGTTTCGATTATACTTGAGGGATGTATCTGCCCACCAAGCAATCATTGTGCGCGATCAATGTGGTTGCGTTTAATGGTCCTGCTTTTGATGCGACTACCAAGGTCCTGCTTTGTGCTGAAGATAATTTCTCTTCGACCAGCTATGGGTTCGATTGAGGTTCTTCGAGATCTTTATAGGGATTGTGGAATATTACCACTACGCCATATACCTGAATGCCAACTTGGCATCATCAACCTACAACTCTCTGCTTGAGAGCTCACTGGGAGAAACGAGACTTCCAAAATTTGGTACTTTTCACGTTCTCATCCACTTGACACACCCATATCCAGACCCCATTGAAGCGAATGTACCATCGAGGTTTATAAACTTGTTTTCAAGATTCTCCTCAATATATATAACCAGCTCAGCTAGCCATTATAGTATACCCACTCAAGTAAATAGTAAATATGATGGTTGGGTAGAATATGAGAAATGGCCTGAAACGCCAGGCAGCCAGGTCAGCTGACCGCGCCGCGAACGCGTCGTCGACCAACTGGAAAAGGAAGTGGAAAAAGTCGCCTCAAGCTCTTTGACGTCCACCAGCCCATCTCTCGCACCTGACTGATCGCAATTCCCCCACCTGCTTTCTCCATGTAGCCGGGACACTGGGTCCATATGCCTTCGGCATTCATTCTGCCCCATCGTTCATTCCTCACGTTCAACCTCTTCGGCGGATCCGGTGTGGAGACTAAGGTGTCTGTCCGCGTTGGCAACGTTAGACTGGCTGCTAGTAAGCACACGACTTTCGTCAGCTTTCAAACTTCAAACACAGGTCTCAAATCAAGGATCTGTCTTTATCATTCAGCGGCCACGGTGACTTCGCTCGCTCGGACATTGCCGCGTCAACCCCCTCCATTCGGGCGGTGAACTGGGTCCTCGTGCGCGGTTGCACATCACCCGGAGACGCCGTGGAGACAGGATCCTGCATTGTCCTTGGTTTTCGATTCTCTAATCGCTTCCAAGGTAGCGGTGACTATCTCTTCTTGCGATACGGAGAATCGCGCTGAGTACCCTGCTGGAGGTTTCCTCCACCCCCGAAGACTTTGGCCGTCAGTCGCTCACTGCACTATGAGCGGATCGCCGCAGCATCACCACGTGCATCGTGCGCAATCACTGCAGCTTGGTTCGCGTCATCCTATCGCCGATACAAAATACACACAGTTCGCCTTCCTTAAGTCGCCAGAGCGTACGTCGTCGCAAGCGCCGATCAACGTGACCACAACAGCAACGCCTGGGTTGAAACACACTGCAGATATAACATCAGAAATTAGCGCTACAGCCTTGAATACAGTCCCTTCAATAGACGGCGAAACTCGCTCATTACATCCCTCCGACGCGTTACGTGATTACTCTTTCACTCAAGTGCCTGAATCCCAGCGGATATATACACGACTGGATACACGGGGAGAAACGGATAGGCAGGAAGTCAGGTCTAATACATTGGCTCCAAGCGTGCATCGGAATTGGCCCCGTTCGGTTGCAGAGTCCTTGCATTCTTCCCGCAGAATATTGAGTCGGAAAAGAACTGCAGCCGGCGTCATCAAGCCGTCTACAGACATGCGGGGAGACTCTCCCAGCTCAGGCGTAGACGCCGCTGAAAGACGCCGTGCCCGAAGCATTAGTGCTCTCCCACATGGAAACCGGATCGCAGCGGTAAGTTGCGGGCCCTCAACGTTTGTTACTTACGGGGTTGCTCACAACACCTCAGTTGTCGATGCACCTTCGCACGCGTCTGTCTTATGCCGCAGCCAAAGTAGAAAAGAACCGCCAGTCTCATGAGACGCGGACACAACTGCCATTGGAGTTTCTGACGCACGATTTGCCGACTCTTTCTGCAAACACGGTCTCCTCGGTCAAAGTGGAATGTTCTCCCAGTTCCTTCGGAGCTGCCGGGCAACGACTGATGGAGCTGGACTCGCCTGATGGCTCGACTGTGTCCGCTCCCGATCCGGCAGGATCTTTCTCACTTCACCCCCCTACACGAGCGTCACCAGTCGCCAGATCTGATGGTCATTCACCCTTTTCATTAAGCGGCGAACCGCCCAGCCCTGAGAAGTCTCACCGATTGCTACCTGTTCCTAAACTCGCCCCACCAGCAAACATCATCCCGAGTAGTAGCAACACTCGGCGCAGACGACCAAACCCGAACGAGGCAGGCAATATCCATTCATATGCGCCGTTATCCCGTCATCGACGGCATCATTCGCAACAAGACTTCCGGACTTCACAGTCTAATGCCAGCTCTGAAACGGTATTAGTTCCGGGAACTCCTCCCTTTGGGCCATCAGCCTACACTTCTACTCCATACAACGGCACGTCTAGTCAGCAAAGTCAGTCTCAAAACACATCAATGGAACAAGACGCCATCGAAACGCTACTCTTCATGTCGAGCCCGGGGAACTCTGGTTACCGGTCGAATTCGCAAAACTCGCAAAACCGTCTCAACCCGATCCGCAACAATATTGCTGCGTCGTTAGACATAGCATCTAATGCACCTTGGAGTCAAAATTCACAACGCGATGCCAATTCGAGCCAATCAACCCAATCATCAGCGATCCGTGGGCCATCTGACGGACTGGAAGCTCATGCTGGTGACGAAATTGACCGCATGTTGGACCAAATGGACAGCGACAGCGAGGATGAGAGCAACTTCCCTACGCGGTACTCCAACGTCAAGACCAGCTCAGTTCCGGATGAGAGCTCTCACAGACGCAATGTTCACCCGGGTTGAGGATGTCGTATGGTTGTTCTCATGGGATATCCGCACGGCATGTTTAATAACAGGGATCATCACTCAATATCAATAGTACTGCTGCCGACGAGCACTAGACCAACAATCTTGTCCGCCCCGGAAATACCCCGTTAATTGACCCGTGCCATAAGCGGGGCCCGAAAGGCGCCCCGATGTCTACCCCGCAGGGCCAAACATAAAGCACTCAGACAGACAGACGCCTTCGCGAAAATCATCTATCCTCATCCACCAACCCTTGCCAAATAACACGCCCAAGAGAGTCGACATGACGACACCAAACCCCTCAACCCCCTTCGAAGAAGGCGTCTTCCTTCCAGGCGGCCACAACACCGATCCTCCTCTGCCCGAGTCCAGCCCCACGACTGGCTACAAGCTCAACCACAGCATGCTGCGCATCCGCGATCCCAAACGCTCGCTACACTTCTACATCAACCTCATGGGCATGCGCACCGTCTGGACCATGAACACCGGCCCCTTCACCATCTATTACTTGGGCTATCCCTCCACCGCCGACGACCGCGCCGACCTCCGCGGCTGGTCCGCCCGCGTCTCCGACCCCCGCACCCTCACCCAGACCCTCGGCCTCCTCGAGCTGTACCACATCCACGGCTCCGAGAAGCCCGTCGCCGACGGCGGCATCGAGGTCTCCACCGGAAATACCCCGCCCCATCTGGGCTTCGGCCATCTGGGCTTCACCGTGCCTGATGTGCCTGCTGCGCTCGACCGTCTGCGCGCTGGCGGTGTCCCCGTGCTGAAGGACTTGGGTGATAGTTCCCGCGAGAGTGTGCCGTTGAGTTCGTGGGAGGAAGAGCGCGGCGTCGGCGTCGGCGCTATCCATCCTAACTATAAACGCTTCTTTGATCAGATTGCCTTTGTCGCGGATCCGGTGAGTGCATTTCACTTCTTTTGCTGTCTTAGTAGCTCGGCTAACGACGCACAGGATGGGTATATTGTGGAATTGGTGCCGCAGAATATGGCGTAGACCGCGCATGTCATGACAAGACATAATATTCATTGACTGACACCTCGTCTGTACATAACTGGGATTACCCCGGTTATTATCTTCCTACAAGAACATACATAGTCGATAACGCAACCCAAACCAAGTCTTTTAGAGCCAGAATATCCGCGCATAATTACAGAATGTCTCTATTCAACACCCCACGAGTCGTCCATCTCCGCCACATCGTAGTCCACCTCGTGGTTGCCGTCCCGTCGTCCCGCCGACTGGTCTGGCGCGAGGGATGGCGCACCGGTATCCATGACCGTGTCTTCATCCGACCCCGTCTTGCTGTCAAACGCCGGGCCCGGCGTCGACGACGCAGCCGAGATCGGAGGGTTGGGCACCCACGACAGCTGGACGTCTCCGACGGAGGGTATCTTCCATGGGCCAAACATGAACTTCTCGGCGATGTAGCGCTCCTTGAATGCCACGATCAGCGAATTCGGCTGCTCGGGATTCGGCTCGATCGATTCGTATTCGCCAACGCCCTAGACAATTCGTTAGTATCAGTTGCGGATAGACATAGTAAGCAAGCGGGGAGGGAACATACAATGAGGAACTGGCGCAGGGCTTCGTCCTTCTCCGGATTGAACTCCACACCCGACACCGCAACCCTTCTGGGCCGGTTATCCAGGCGCAAGACACCGCCCCGGCCGCGGGCGACGCCGCCGCGTCCACGATAGCCCCCACGATAGGATGGGTCGTACCCGCCACGGCCACGAGGCGCGAAGCCCCCGCGACTGAAACCCCCGCGTCCACGGCCACGACCGCGGTAGAACGAGGAGCCCGCTTCCGCGCTGTTCGGATCGATACCCAGACTCTTGGCTTCCGCTTCCAAGGCGGCAAGCTGTGCGCGGAGCTGCTTGGTCTGTTCGCTGGCGTTGTCGTCCACGGGAGACTGACTCGCGCCGTCGGGGGATTGGGCCCCGCTGCTGGCGGCGCCGCCACCCAGCTTGCGCAGCAAGCGCTCTTTTTCTTCCTGTTGCTTTTTGAGGAGCTCCTCGCGTTGCTTTTCCAGCGCCTGTTTGGCTTCCTCGGTCTCTTTGCGTTTCTTCATCTTGTCTTCGTAGGCCTTCTGCGCTTCCTCCTGCTGCTTCTCAAACTCCTCCTGGTTGAACGCCGGTTCTTCGGACTTCCCTTCGCGGGAGCCCGCCCGTTGATCGCCGTTCTTGTCGCCCTTGGGTTTGTGCCAGTACACTTTGACGAATCGATTGTCGAAGATCACCTTGGGGCTGGACCATGCCTTCTTGGCCGCCGCGTGGCTATCGTACGTGATCAACGCCAGCTTCCGGTGAGGCTGGATGGACAAATCGACGATCTCGCCGTATTGGGAGAAGAATTCGCGCACGGTGCCGTCGGTCAGCTGGTCCTTGGGGGATCTGTTCGACCACGATCGTCGTGATGGAAGTGTCCTCGACACGGCCGTGCCGCGGAGTAACTCATCGACCGCCCGGCCCTCGGCCGCCAAACTCGCAATCACACGATCACCACCGCGTCCCCGACCACGGCCCCCGGTCGCTGCCGCGAAAGTGTCCCCTCGCGGCGCCGAGAGTCCCGTCACGATTCCAGACGCTCTCGGGTCGTATTCTGCTTTAATCAAAAGTTAGCACCTATATGGTAACGGTATAAGAGAAAGTGAAACGCCATGTGCATACCGTCCTCTTTCGACGCGCCAGGCGCGAGATCATGCTGATACGGGCAGGCCGCTCCCAGGTAGCAAATTCCTTGAGTCTCGTAGAACGGACACCGCTCCGAGCTCTTGGGCATTTGGTCCTGCGGTTGACCAGCACCGCCGGGCGGCATTGGCATCGGGGGCATGCCCGGCATCTGCGGGAAGCCCATGCCCTGAAGCGCCATCATGGCTGCCATGGGGTCGTTCTGGTCGAAGGGAGGGAAATTCGGAGGCATGACTGGGAATCCACCGGCCGCCGGAGGGAACTGTTCAGGGGCACCGCGGCTATCGCGTCCCATCCAGTCTCCTCTGCCACCTCCGCGGCCTCGACGAGGAGTCTTGAAGACCCGGTTGTGGGGCACGCCATCCTGTTCTTGGTCCGCTTGGAAACCCTCGTGATAGCTGCGCTTGCGATTGAAAGTCGAGGTGTCTCCTTGCGACTGGGGATAGCCGCCCATCTGCGATCCATAGGGTCCTTTGGGGCCAGACGGCGGGTTAAATGGCTGTTGTTGGGGGATGGAGCCGGCGACTGGGATCTCGTTCGCAGGCGGTTGGCCCTGTTCGATCGAGGGCACCGGATGAGACGATTGCTTGAGCGCAAAGGTAGCGAAAAGCTCATCGACAAATTTCTCAGTATCTGAAAAGTTCAACAAAGTCAGACACGCGATTGTCGTAGGAGGTAAATCGCACAAGAAGAGCATCACTAACGTTCTCTCAAAAAATCTTCCAGATTCTCCACGGACGCCTTTCGGATTTCATCATCGGGAGCATCGGATCTAATAAGCGCCAAAACATAGTCTGCGAGCACATCCGCATCGGCGTCGGATCTAGAGTCGCGAGAGTAACCAGTCAGCGATATTGAATCTCCACGATGTAAAACCGCACTAGGATCAGAACCACTAGAATTGGCCGAGAGGCGCGTACATATCTTCGAGCTTCCTCACAACCCACTTCTTCACCTCGCTGGCTTCATCCTCGGTGAGCTGCATGATGAAGTCGCAAAGCAAGGTGTGTTTTCCGAAGCACGTCAACTACCGGTGTTCGTCTTTCGGAAGGTCGGGGGAGAAGGCGACAACAATTGCAGATACTGTCGGGTTGCTGTCCAAAGCTGGGTATGAACGAATCTTCAGGCGCCAACGGACTCAGTGTTGACAAATCTCAATCCAGGAGACAATATATGTAGGCCGTATCAGAAACGGGCTCAGGACATCATGTATGAGCTTTGAGATGGGATTCGAAGGGGGAAATAGCGCCTGGGAATTGAAGCAAAAGAACGTCGGCCGCTGCCCAGAGAAACGCGAGCGACGCGGATGACGGAAGTGTCACGTGACCTGTCTTGACCACCGTCTTTCCATCCACACAAGCTAATCCTACCTACAAGATTCTGGTCGGTACAAGATCTTTTACAAACTGAAAACTAGTCTACGCGGAGGGGAAACGGTTGAACTGGGAACTACCATCTCGTATTTTTTTTTCATGCCCAACTAGCGAACAACAACAACTATGGGAAAAGCCCTCGCAGTCATAAACGTAACAAAAAAAAATGAAAGAAGCCATAGCAGATGCACGAGCACTCCTTGTTTCTACTTGTTTCTAGGTATCGAAAATCCACATACGACATTAAACTGTGGTGTCTGTTTGATTTTGATGGGGGTGTGTCGGCCCCTAACATAGACAGTGTATTGCGTTCGTCGATCTCATAAACATAGAACTCCCGTCATGGCAAACAGGGACCCTAGTATTGCGCTTGTAAAGAACGTGTTTACAGCTTGTCGTAGTACTGTAGAGTAGGGTGTTAGTATAGTGTGATAAAGGTCAAGAACGAGCAAACTTACGTTTTCGTAGCCAGGAACCTCGGGCTTGAGACCCTTGCGCGTACGCATCTCCTTGACGATCTGACCAGGCTTGGTGGAGGCATCGAGAGGAGAGCCACCAGGGAGGACAGCCCAGTGGTCGAAGACCAGCTGGGGGAAAGCCTGACCACCAGTGGCCTGACGGAGGTCGGAGGAGAAACCGAAGGACTCGTTGACGGGCAGGTAGGCCTTGACGTTGAACAGAGGAGTACCAGGGCGCTGCTCCTCGGTGTAGACGTGACCACGACGACGGGTGAGGACACCGTAGATACCACCCATGGCCTGCTCGGGCACCTGGATCTCGACGTTGAAGATGGGCTCCAGGATACCAGGGTCAGCCAGCATGGCAGCGGCATACAGCACACGACGAGCGGTGGGGATGATCTGACCACCACCACGGTGGATAGCATCAGCGTGCAGGGTCACATCAAGGACGTTGAAGCGGATAGAGCGCATGGGCTCCTCAGCAACAGGACTCTCGCGAGTGACCACTGGAAACCAGAGACGAAAGAGTCCTTGATTTCGTTGAGGTACTGGACGGCCTTGGTCTGGTCGACCAGCAAGTTGGCACCGGTGGTGTCGGGACCGAAACACCAGATCTTACGGGCATCGGTGACATCCCAGCCGTAGTCGTCAGCAAGGAGACGGGCACGAGCCTTGAAATCGTCACGGGGGGTGATCTTGCCAGCCTCGATGGCGAGGGAGACCTCCTCGTCAAGGGGCTGAGCAGTGACGTAGAGACGGTTGTGCTTGTTGGGAGACTTGGACAGGGCAGTCATGCTGGAGGTGCCAGCGACAGTCTCACGGTAGGAGACGACGGGGTCGGAGATGCGGAGAGGGACACCAGCGTGGTCCTCCTCGAGATCCTTCAAGCAAATCTCAAGGTGCAGCTCACCAGCACCAGCAACGACGTGCTCACCAGACTCGGAAATCATGGTCAGGACACAAGGGTCAGACTTGGACAGACGCTTGAGACCCTCGACCAGCTTAGGCAGATCCTGGGCGTTCTTGACCTCGACGGAGCGCTGCACGACAGGAGACACGGAGAACTTCATGACCTTGAGGTTGTGGGCAGTCTCGGAGGTGGTAAGGGTACCAGACTTGAGCAGGAACTGGTCAACACCGACCAGACCGACGATGTTACCGGCAGGGACATCCTCGATGGGCTCAACGAAACGACCCATCATGAGAATGGTACGCTGGATGTTCTTGATGAACAGATCCTCCTTCTTGCCAGGGGTGTAGTTGGGACCCTGGATGCGGACCTTCAGACCAGAGCGGACGGTACCGGAGTACACACGACCGAAGGCGTAGAAACGACCCTTGTCAGAGGTGGGAACCATCTTGGAGACGTAAAGCATGAGAGGAGCCTTGGCGTCACAGTCACGGATACCAATGGCGCAGTCATCATCCATGGGACCCTCGTAGAGAGTCTCAGCACGGTACTTCTGGGCGGTGACGGGAGAAGGCAGGTGGATACAGATCATCTCCAGCATGGCGTCAGCAGCAGGCAGGAACTTGCGCATGAC